ACACACACACACACACACACACACACACACACACACACACACACACAGTGGTGGGGAGGAAGGATTGACCACTGGTACCCAGGGGATATTGTATACTGGTGAATATTTAATAACAGGTTCTTTAAAAACAAGATAAATTGAAATGACTTAGTTTGTAGGCTTTCCCCTTGCTGATTTCCATGGTTTAAATATTCTCTCCACTATCTGCTGAGAAATGGTAACATGGTGTTGCTGTAGGCAGAAGTGGCATGGGATGAGAGAGTGAGCTCCTTATGGGCTAGCTTCATTCAGCACATGTAGCATGGTGCACAGTGTTGCTCTGGTAAGCCTTCTGCTCAGGAGCTAAGCATTCCTCACGCCTAAGTAGCACAGTTTTTACAGCATTGTTAGAGTCTCATACCCTGGCCATAGCTAAAAGGATCATATGCCTCTTACCAAAGCCGAGGTGAAGCCTGAACTCAAGAATTGTGACGTGGGGTGAGACGCCTATTCTGGAAAACAGTACTTGATTACTAAGTTAAGGGAAGATAATGGAGTCAAGTTTGTTTTCGGATTTCTTAAAGCATATTTGAAATAGAAAATGCTTAATTGTTTGACTATTATTATAAACAGGTTTCTATCCACATAATTTCAAAGTCTTAATTATCTTTACTTTCAGTTCTAGCAATCAAGATATTCACAAATCATCAGAATATCACGTATTTTGTCTAGAATTCTCCCTCATCTGCTTGTTCCTTTTCACATGTTTGAGGGTTCCATTATCTGAAGGAAAGCAAAATTTATAGAGGTTTTTTTGTTGGCATAAAAATGAGTCTGTGCCTTTTTCTCCCCACTGTCACTTCTGCTCTGGCAACTACTGAGGCACTGGGCATCTTGGAAACCTCACCATTGGACGGCCTTAGAGTGCAAGTCAGAGGCGTTTTAATCACAGTCCTTTGATAATGTCTAACCCCACCTGACTTTAATGTTGAACTATAAATTTTATAGATAGTTAAAGTGAGACTAATAATTTGGTTTTTATTAAGAACATTACTCTTTCCTGTTTTAAAACTTATTTATTATTTAAATGTAGAGCTACCCCATAGGAGGACTATATTTAAAATATTAAAACACATATTTCATTGTCAACAATAGAAGTACACAAAAACGCTAAAGGATGTTGAACAAAACACATCAGGAAAAAAAAAGGAAACCCCCCTTTCTACTTTTAAGAAGAGGTAATTAGAGAGGGGTAACAGCTACCAGCGATCATATGTGCGTGATGTTCTAGGCATCTTGCTAAATACACTAGAAATATCACCATATTTCCTCTTCTCAACAACTTATGAAACATTATTTTCCTGAGAAATATGAAGGCCTTCACTTGAGAAATGAGATTGCTAAAAGGGTGAAATGGATTTTTCACCATTATGTAACGTGAGCTAGGACATGCAGCATTTTTATAACAACGATCTGATTTCAGCATCCATTACTGGAAAATAGCAGTCAGAGAACAAAGAATGGAAAAGATAAGGGAAGCCAGGGTTGAACAAAGCAGTTTTAAGCTGCCAGCTAGAGAGGTGATGCCTCTCTTATGTTAACTAAGTAGCCATTGCCAAATTACTCACAGCAGAGAAGCCAGCGTGTCTGTCTGGTTTGAGTGAAGAAGAAAGGGCACATGAAGAAGGGAACTGTGGAGAGCAGAAAAATTTAGCCTGCAAACTATAACTTAGAGGTCCTGGAATATAAAACCCGGACAAGAATTGCCAATAATTTGATGGTGTGCTTTGTAGTAAACATTCAATTTCCTGTCAAGCTGAGCATGGCGGACAATGAATTTAGCATCACTAGTTGTTGGGCTGTCGTGTGGGCAGGTGCATCACCCATGAGACTGAGAACTTAGTCCTTACTAGTTCTTTGATGCTCTTGTAGGAATGCTAGAAGTTCCCTCCAGAGTTCCTGTTGTTTCCTGAAGGGTATTTTTGCCATATTTACAAAGGGCATATTCCAGGTAGTTCATACAAGATGATATATCTCCCTCTACTTGAAGCATGTAAGCCAGCATATCTCCCCTTGCCCTTCTCTTAAGGCTCTAAGACAAACAGAATAAGAAGATGCTTCCTCTTTGTGCATAGCATGGATCCTCACCTCATAGACTTTGGTCAAAGGCTTCTGATCTTTGATTCAAGGCAAAGGTTTTGTGTCTCTGGAGTCCAAGGCACAGTGTCCTCTGCTTACTGCCTGACATTCCTCAAACTGAAGACCGATGAAGCCCACCAAGCCTGCACTTGAGAAAACATGCTATGTCCTTTACTACACAACTTATATTGCTACTACAGGGTGCTGGTATCAAGAAAGAAAAACGTTATCATTTCCATTTTTTCCCAGCTCAATCTCCCTTTCATCTCCTGCTGGGAAATCTTGAAAATAATGTGGCAACCCTCCCTGCAAAGCTGTGTCCAAATGTGTTTTTAATTTTTTTATACTTTATTGTTTTTAACTGAGATGTATGTTTTCTCCCACTAGCCTTCCTTTCTCCCCTCTCCCCTGTCATCCTCTCCCCTTTCCCCCATGCTTCCAATTTACTCAGGAGATCTTGCCTAGATCTTCCTAGGTGGATCCATGTATTTGTCTTTTAGGGTCTTCTTTGTTGTCTAGTTTCTTTGGGATTGTGGACTATAGGCTGGTTATTTTTGGCTTTATATCTAAAAGCCACTTATGAATGAGAAAATATTATATTTGTCTTTCTGAGTCTGGGTTACCTTGCTCATATAGTTTTTTTTTCACTCAGTACGTTTTTTTTTTTAGTTCTGTTCATTTGCCTGCAAATTTCAAGATGTCATTTTTTTAAAACCTACTTTTGACCACTGAGTAGTACTCCACTGTGTAAATGTAACATATTTTCCTTATCCATTCTTCAGTTGAGGGGCATCTAGGTTGTTTCCAGGTTCTGTCTATCATGAATAATGCTGCTATGAACATGGTTGAGCAAATGTCCTTGTGGTATGATTGAGCATCTTTTGGGTTTATGCCTAAGACCTCAACATAAAACCAACCACACAGAAACCTCATAGAAGATAAAGTGGGAAGTAGCCTTGAATGCATAGGCACAGGAGACCACTTCCTAAATATATCTCCAGTAGCACAGACACTGAGAGCAACAAATAATAAATGGGACTTCCTGAAACTGAGAAGCTTCTATAAAGCAAAGGACACAGTCTCTTGTTGATGCAAAGAAAACCAAAATCAAAGGACATAACAGTACAACCACAGCTTGGGTTTCCAGCAGCAGGATGATACATCAATGTGTTCTGTGCCTTTTTGTCTCCTGGGATATACAAACATTTGACCAGAATTCAACCTGTTCCAATACAGACAGTCCACCTGTATTGGAGCAGAGTTGCGGGGAGCCTCTGTTTTCCCTTTCTAAGTCTACGTCATAATCTTTTTCTGTCTTCTCTCTTTCACCCCCCTCTCTCTGTTAGGTAAACTGCTGCCATTTTGTTGCGTTTTTATCAGGTCATCAGGATCAAATTTCAGCCTCTTTCCTATCAGTGGCAATAGGCATAATCTTGTTTTGGTTTCTTCAGGCTTAGTATCTTCATTCTCTTGCCAGGACGGGTTGACACCACTTCATTGTGCTGCGCGAAGTGGGCATGACCAAGCGGTGGAGCTGCTGCTGGAACGGGGTGCCCCCTTGCTGGCAAGGACCAAGGTGAGTCATTGTGAGTAAGATGGCGTCCGAGAACACTTAAGGCACTTTGGGTGGTTTCCCTTCTTCAAACTAAACCATCAGTAAAACTTATTGAATGTGCTAAAAATAAGAAATAAATACCAAATTTGCAAAATTATTAAAATGAGCAAATGCTTACATCAAGATGTGCTAAGTGAATACCTCTAGTTTCCTGCTGTTTTTTAAAAACCTATTATTTTACTGTAAATGAAAACTTGAATAACAATATCATATAAAAAGAATATTAAATATAAATGCTATTACATTGCATAAGCTAAAATTTTTAATGACTTGCTAAGATGACTGTATAACACATGTGGAATTATCTTTCAAGGTAATACCATTAATACTGGAAGATAAAGCTTAGAATTTACTAAATATTTCTCTTTTGGGTAACACTAATTAGAATATTTACTGAATAGTAGAGTTGTTGACAATAGTGGGGATTGATAATGGTGATAGGAACAGCATACCTTAGGATTAGTCATATATAAAGAACTGCAAAGCGAGCTAAAGCAATCATTCTGTTCTTTATGGTATAACACAACGAGCATTTCTTTTTGCCTCACTTTATTACAGTGTTCAGGTAAGAAAATCCATTTCCATGTGAATAAAAATCACACAGTAAATGAGTTGTTTGGAGGTTTGCATTATCAATATCTGTAAATTTTATTGTTTTGCATTTCTCTGATATCTATCAGAAAATACTGTGACGCATAAATGGACATTTAATCACCCAGAATTATTTAATGGGATACGCAACAATTTTTAGATCCTTAAATACAATAAAACTTCTGATGTGAACCTCTTACATTTTCTCCTGATTCTACCCTGTTTCTACCACTTAATAACGCTGATTAGCAATAGGGCAAGATGGAGAAAACCAGGATACTGGCCTCACATGACGTATCTTACACACACACACACACACACACACACACACACACACAAACACACACACACCATTCACAGTATAGAATGATAATGGAAATAATGGAGATAATCAATGTAGTCAACCAACTCTACTATTAAGTAATTGTTCTAATTAATATTACTCAAAAGAAAAAGAACATAGAAATACAAAGCTTTATCTTCTTTCAGTGTTAATGGTATTGTCTTGATAGATAAATTCTTTTTTTAATTAATTAATTAATTTATTTGTTTGTTTATAAAAATTTCCACTTCTTCCCCTCCTCCCAATACCCTTCCATTCCCCCCACTCCCTCTCCTCCTCCCTCTCCAGTCCAAAGAGCAGTCAGGGTTTCCTGCCCTGTGGGAAGTTCAAGTTCCTCCCCCCTCCCTCCAGGTCTAGGAAGGTGAGCATCCAAACAGACTAGGATTCCAAACAGTCAGTACATGCAGACGAAACAAGACCCAGTGCCATTGTAAATGGCTTCTCAGTCAGCCCCCATGTCAGCCACATTCAGAGAATCCGGTTTTGATCACATGCTCGTTCAGTCCCAGTCCAGCTGGCCTTGGTGGGCTCTCATTAGATCAGTTCCCTTGTATCAGTGGGTGAACGCACCCCTTGCGGTGGCCCTGACTTCCTTGTTCATGTTCTCCCTCCTTCTGCTCCTCATTTGGATCTTGGGGGGCTCAGTCCAGTGCTCCAATGTGGGTCTCCATCTCTATCTCCATCCATCGTCGGATGAAGGTTCCCTCTGGTCCTGTCTATCTTGCTCGTTTTCCCTCCTTCTGCTTCTCATTTGGATCTCGGGAGTTAAGTCCAGTGTTCCAATGTGGGTCTCTGTCTTTATCCCCATCCATCGCCAGATGAAGGTTCTATGGTGATATGCAAAAATTCATCAGTATGGTTATGGGCCAAGGCCAGTTCAGGCACCCTCTCCTCTGCTGCCCAGGGAAGAATCTAGGGACCTCTCCTTGGGCCTGAGAACCCCTCCAGAAACAAGTCTCTTGCCAACCCTAAAATGGCTCCCTTAGTTGAGATATATACTTGCCTGCTCCCATATCCATCCTTCCTCCCTCCCATCTCATTCCCTCAGATAAATTCTTATATGTATATGATGCACTGGTGTTTTGAGACAGGGTTTTTCTATATAGTCCTGAAACTTGCTCTATAGACCAGGTTGGCCTCCAAATCAGAAATCAGCCTGCCTTTGCCTCCCATGTGCTGAAATTACAGGCATGTGCCTCCACGCCTGACTCAATTTCTACTTTAATTGACAATTTCCTTGGTATCATTTGGAGCATACCAGCACACACATTTACCATTTGTAGAGAGCTCAGTCATTCTCTAAAAGATATGCCCCGCCAGCCACTAGAGAAACTGACTTCATACAAGAAAGACATAAAGGGAAGTAAGTTTCCTGCATTGTTTTCATTATCATTCTGTACTGAGAATGTTGCAAAAATATATTTTAAAATATGCAACAGTTTAGACTAGGTTCTGCAGAGATATTACGGAGAGCTTGTTGAAGGACTAGGCTGCAATTTAAATGAAAACAAAACCACAGTCCAATTGTGTTGCACCCAAATTTTTAAAACCTTATAACACTGAAGCCTGTGAGATCTTCCAGGAAAATTTTCAAATAACCTTCTTTACCTTGCTCTGACAATGGATTCATAACCAGCGAGAATTTGGATTACCTGAGTGTGAGTTTTAAGGTGAGCTTCCTGTCAGAGGAGGAGTCATTTAAATTTAAGGGTCCAGCACAGAGATGGTTATACCCATTCAGTCCTGCATCCAGCTATATCATGTATGAGGAAGATGCAATGTGCCAGGCGCTGTTCTGGTTACCAAGGAACTAGCAAGGTGAATTCTCATCAAAAAGCATCTTGAAGAAGCAGACTCTCCAGGGCAGCAGAGACAGGAGACTGTGAAGCAGAGCTCTGTGAGGTTAAAGGACTCGGAGCCGATGAGCTGACCAGGTTGGAGGAGGACTAACCACTAGGACACGTGTAGCATCATGCTCTCCCTCTTTCCCCACTACAGCTCTCAGTTTTGAGTCACCCAGGCTTCTTTTTCAAAGCAATTTTCCCTCATTCTTTGAAAGCTGTAGGTCTCAGCAAGATGAATCCTCACTATAATCCATGCTGGATTCTCGGTGTCCTGACTTTAAGGCCTCTGTCATTCTCATCTCTAACCTCACATTCTCCACCCACCCTCCTAAGGTCTCAGATCACTCTGAGTCTCCAACCCCAGGCAGTTGCGCTGTCTCTTTCCTCTCCCTGGTCCCTTACCTCTGAACAACGAAGTTCCCTTTCTAGCAATCCCTCGAACAACTCCCTGTGGCCTCTGGTGACTAAACCCATGTCACATTCCTGTACCTGAGTGTGGCAACAGTGATGTAGTCCCTCAGACTGTGGTCACTAACCTTAGCTTAGCCCAGTGACACATTACACTGCAATTTCCATAGTGATTCATCTCACTCCCTGCTCGCTAACTAAGCCACATACTGTTCTTTAAATTGCTTAGACATCTTTTTTTTTTTTCCTTCATGCAACCCTGAGAAACACTGAAGCAGGCTGGACACGATGTGAAGCAAACAATGTCCACAACCTCCCACTTTCCCAGCTCTCTGAGCTCATGAATCAGAGCCTGTGGAATCTGTGTTCCATCCTATTTCTGTCACCTGGCACAGCTTCCCATTCCTCCTCTCTCCAAACGCTTTTCTCATTTGCCTTCTAGGACATCACATTTTCTTGGATTCCTTCTGTATCGCAGTCTCCGTGACGATTTCCTCTCTATCCCCCAGCTCTCTGGCTGTTAGCAATCCTGGGTTAGAGGTCCCATTCTGTCTTTGTTCTCTCTCCCTCCGTACACACTTCCTCTGACGTTTCCTAAAGTTTATCTTTAAACAGTTCCTGCGCTCTGCTGACACACATGTGGATATTTCTAGAATTCTTTGGTGATATTTTGCCCACCCCTAAATATAGTTCTCTTTGAAGCTTGTATCTTCCTTCACGGTCATCTCGTTCTTTCAATTGCTCCAATCCTTCATATCATGCTGGACTCCGTTTCTCACTCTCTGTTCTTCGCCTTTTCCTTCTATTTGCATCATTAAACCAGAAGCTGTTGAAGAGTCGCATTGCCACCACATGTCCCAGTTGGATGGTGGAAGAGGCCCCTAGCTGGTTTCTGTTTTCTTTTTCTGCAACCCAACTGTTCTGGACACATTTCCCAAGGCAAATGCTGTTGTCCTAGCCCTTCCAACCATGCCAGACCTCTATCACAAAGTCTCTTATCCCTTTGAACCCCTCTCCTTATTCAGCCTCCTAATCCACTTACCTTAAGACACAGCCGCTTCGTTCCTGTCTGTTGAGGTCTTTCACTCCCATCATGGAGTGCTTGCCTTTGTGTTTCCTCTGTTATATAGTTTTATAGGACTCTCTCTCCAGATCATCAGGTAGAGTGTCTGGGCCGGCATCTGTTGTCTCTTAGAGGTTGTATAAAATGACTCCTTATGGCTTTCACAGTCTCCGCTGAAAAGTCAGGTGTCATTGTAACAAGTCTGACTTTATACATGACTTAGTCTTTCTCCCATGAAGCTTTTAATGTCCTTTCTTTGTTCTGAACATTTAGTGCCTTGATTATTATGTGTCCTGGGCAGTTTCTGTTTTGGTCCTGTCTGTTTGGTGTTCTATATGCTTCTCATACCATGATCGCTATATCTTTCTTTAGACTGGAGAAAATTTTTTTTCTATAGTCTTCTTTGACCTGGGTTTCTTCTTATTCCTCTATACCTATTATTTATAGGTTTGGTCTTTTCATGGTGTCCCAGATATCCTGGCTGGTTTGTACCTGGACTTTTTAGATTTAACATCTTCTTGGACTGAGCTATCCATTTCTCCGACCGTGTCTTAAAGATCTGGAGTTTTCTTTTCCATGGCTTGTAATCTCTGGTGGGGCTTACCTCTGAGGTTTTTGTTTGGTATCCTAATGTTTTGATTTTCAGTTTTATTTTACTTTGGATTTTCTCTAGTGATTCTATTTCTTTTATTTCTTGAAATGTTTTTATTATTTCAATCAACTGTTTGTGCTTGCATAGTCTTCATTAAGCCATTTATTTATATACTCTTTAAGTTCATTGACTATATTCATAATGGTTGTTTTGAAGTCCTTGTCTTGTGCTTCAGGTAAATCACATTTCGGGTGGGGAGAACTGTTATTATAAGGTTTCTATGCTTGTGTTTTTGTGCTGGGATCCAGGCATCTGGTGTAATGATGTGATTTGTTTTCTGGTGTAGATATCTGGCCTTGTGATTTTTGGGTGGATGTTTTGTTCATTGCTGTTGCCCCCTCTGGATCTGAAGCAAGTGTAGTGGTTGTGGGGTCCTCGTTAAAGACTGTTTACTCAGGTCAATGAGTGGCACAACGGAGTGGAGGGGCTTGGAAGAAAGGCCGAGAGGGACAGCAGGAAGATGCCAGAAGGACCTGGGTCTGTGGACCTAGAGACAGAGTCCTCAGGGAGCAGAAGTAGGGTCGGAGGAGAGCTTTCTGCAGGCAGGATGCTGCAGGACTATGAGTAATTTTGGAGAGTCCTGAAATGGAGGAGAGGAAAGATAGTGAAAATCAACTGTTTCTCAGCCCAGTGTAGGCACTGGTGGTCCGGGGAGGAAAGTGTTTCTGAGGATGGTAACTAACAAAGAAATGGAGATGTGTTAGAAGGGAAGGTTGAAAAGAAGGGTTGAAAATAACTGAGGAACCCTGCATTAGACAAAGACTGAAATGTTGTCTAATTTCAGACATAATCTTCAAGTGGATCCATAACCTTCAAGCAGCAGCAATAGGTGTCAGAAATTCAGATGAGCACTACTCCAGTTTGCCTTATCTGTACTTAGACATTTTCTTTCCCTGCAGTGTGTACTTTCTTACCTACCTGCTCCTCTTTTCAAAGTCCATTTATTGTATTTCTAAATATCAAAACAATGATTCCTAATGCCATTCATTTCAGGAACAAATAACATCATTTTCAGTTCCCTTGAACTCTTCCACCCATAAACAACCACAGTGATGATTTTTATATGTTTCGTTGTAGCTATGTCTCATTCTCGACGTCACCTTTCTTATTGAGAATACTGGACTGTGGGACTTTTATATAATTTTTTGTAAACATGATCTCTACTTCTTTGAATTGATAACATGATTACCAAAATAGTTATTTGATCAACAAACTATATTTGATGGTTCCTGCGTGGTTATTAAGCACTAACAATAGAACGGTCTCTTGAATGGACAATGTTCTAATTTTTTTTCTAAACATGTGTGAGTTCTTCTTTTTGACATTTATTTGCCTACTTAAAAAAAAAACGGAGTCGGGGGGAGAAATTGGGGATGGGACAAGATGGCTCAGCAGGTTAAAAAGCGCTTGTCAAGCAAGTTTCCAGGAGCCCATGTAAAGGCGGAAGGAGACAGCCACAAAATAGAACTCCACAAAATAGGAAGTTGTTTTTGACTTACACTGATTGTGAAGAATGGCTTACCCTATCCTTTAAGTTTTACTTTTGATCACCTTCCCAGTAAAGGTGAAGACTGCTTGAGTCTATATTAATATCGCGAATCTAGACTGTCCTCAAGGTTGAGAGCCGTGAGGTCATTGATATATGATCTACAGTGGCTTCATGCTCTTCCAGCACCTACCTGTCTCTTCATTCATACTTTAATGTAAGTCTTGTATTATTATTGGGGGGGAAAAAAGCATCTCGGAATTTTTCTAAAGCCTGAACCTAAGATATGATGAAATTTTTCCTATTTTCTTGCCCTATGCAAGAAATACTTTATCTAAGTATTTCTCTGTTTATACAGGAAGGGAAATGCAGGTAGAGAGGTAATTTAATCTAGACTGCTTTTATAGTATAAAATGCAAATGATTTATGCACGAGCCATCATTCCTATATATATCTAATACTGTTCTCATAATTTGTAAAATCAAGCTGAATTGGCACATACTGTGAAAGCATGTAATGTCTTTTGCTAAAGATTATTATGGTTGTAAACTTAAAAGCACTCTTACCTAACATAATCTACTCTACATTTGGATATTAAGGAAGAGTTATTTCTCCTGCCTCCAACTGTGTTGAAGATCAAGACTGACTTTGTAAGGGTCCCAAACATGAAAGGAATGCAAACAGAACATGGATTTGGTTTTTCTGTTTTGATGTGCAGAACGGACTGTCTCCACTTCACATGGCTGCCCAGGGGGACCACGTGGAATGTGTGAAGCACCTGCTACAGCACAAGGCGCCTGTAGATGATGTCACCCTGGATTACCTGACGGCCCTTCATGTTGCTGCACATTGTGGTCACTACCGTGTCACCAAACTCCTTCTGGACAAGAGAGCCAACCCGAATGCAAGAGCCCTGGTAAACCTGGCCCAATCCACATTCATCAAATATAGTTTGAGAAACCAAAATCACATTGATTGGCCAACGGCACCTACACCAATGCATGGTTATAGATCCACAGTTAATAAATGCCAAGCTTGTCACTCCCTGAAAGCTGACAACCTACTTTATGCTTTCATAGTTTCCTAAGTGATCATAAACATGAGCAGATTGAGGAGAACACCAGATTGTTATTTCTGAAACCCACGAGTTGCAAACAATATGAAACTCTGGGATGATAAGTGTTTTAAAATAGAAGCTAGGTGTTAAAAAATAAGAAATGTCAGGGTGTGCTGGTGCTTTCCTTTAATCTCAGCACTCGGGAGACAGGGGGAGGCTGATCTCTGAGTTCGAGGCCAGCCTTGTCTACAGAACTAGTTCCAAGACACCCAGGGCTACACAGGGAAACCCCATCACGAGGAAGAAAGAAAGGAAGGAAGGAAGGAAGGAAGGAAGGAAGGAAGAAAGGGAGAGAGAAACAGAGAGACAGACAGAAAGGAAAGAAAGAAAGGAAGGAAGAAAGGAAGGAAGGAAGGAAGAAGGAAGGAAGGAAGGAAGGAAGGAAGGAAAGAAAGAAAGAAAGAAAGAAAGAAAGAAAGAAAGAAAGAAAGAAAGAGACATAGAAAGAAAAGGTCCTTTCTAGGTGCCTCTAAATACTAGATAGATTTAGGATACAGGTATGAAAAGTTTGATCTTGATGAATCTCTTAAGAAAAATAACGATTTTAAAATAGCGAATATATTTGACTCTATGAGGAGGTCTAAGACAGAAGCTGGTGAGAGTTCCTTGGACATTTTCTTTATGGACGGACTGCCCAGCCATGGGCTGGGTGATGGCTTGGTGTATTACTGCTTTGCAAAGCATTCCAGAACCTGCTCAAGAGATCCTGTAGGAAGCCATTCCCAGAGCAGCTTTGTGTCTCCCATGGTGTAATAATATGGAACAAATCTTTCTTGCTTCACTTATAGCTAACTAATTAGCACGTTAGGCAGGCACTAATTTATGTCGTTCATTTTCTAATTCTCACTCTAAACACACCGTTTTGCTTTCCTATATGTTTACATGATTTATGTCAACTAAAATTCCTTTCAAACAGTTTTGAGAGTCTGTTGTTAAAATGACTAAATATTGGGCTAGGAGAGGAGCTGAATTTGTAGACTACTTGCCTAGCATGGGACATGCTTACAATCTTAGAATTCAGGAGCTATAGGTAGGCGATAAGAGGTTCAAGGTCATCTTTGGCTACATTGCAAGTTTGAGGCCAGTCTGGGATAAATGAGATCATCCTTTGAGAACAAAAGTCAATCAATCATGTGACCAATAAGCAAAGTAATAGATCAATTAAATTATTAAATATTGAGCATATTGATTTATTTTGAAAAATTTCAGTGGAATTCACCTATTACTAATTACTTAGAAAGTGATTATACTTTCAAGGTACATAAAGACCTTTAATTTCTCATAAGAAGTTGAAAACACTGTTTATTAGATAGTGATGAGAGAGCTTAGGAATTACAGCAGGCGATCAGTTGCATGTATGCTAATGCCGCAGGCCCATTTTGCTACTGATCTCTGGCTCAGGACATAGTTTATAAACAGGGAACATGACTCAACACCTTACGCTCATCACTCCACTCTAAAGAACACAGAGTCACCGCTTAAGTGAGACCATATGTTTGCCTGAGAACTGGTAACGGAGGAGAATACCAAACGACACTCAGTTCCCCGGGACATTTAAAACTGTTAATTGGCAAGACAGGGATCATTCTGTAAGAGAACAGCTATTCAAATAAAAAGACGAAAGGTATAATACGTAACAATTTAGCCCAGAGCTAGGTAAATTTTGATGCTATTTCTCCAGTTTCTGAAACTGGTAGCTTAGTTTACAAAACTTCACGTGCCTTTCAGAGGCATCACTTAACTTTAACCTTCGGTGTCGTCTGGCAGCTGTTCCAGAAATTTACTGTATCGTTCTTGAAAATACTCCGGGATGTAATGATTTCCACATAAAATAAAATATATATATCTGGGAACTTAATTGTTTCTTTATAAAATTGAATGCATCCGATTGGTATACATGTTATAATATAAAACTTAACTTCTCTTCATAAATATTGTCAGCATAATGATTTCTGCTAATTTGAAACTCTCCCCGAGGAAAAAATAGCAAAGTTGAAACACTTTTTATAAAGCTGTCATATGGTTAGTTTTTTTGAAAGTAGATGAACAATTCTTATGCCCTGAGAAACTGGACCTCCACTTTTTGAAATATTCTTCTACTCCCTCCATCTTTTCTCCCTCACCTGACCAGTCCAGACAGCCTAAAACACCTTAGGCCACCTAAAGCATATTTTCCCTCTATTTTTTTCTCCTATGAAAAGAGAGCCCACATACTTTCCTCTGCTTTTGTCTGTCTCCACTGTCTGCATTCAGAATGACAGAAGCAAAATTCAGCTCCCCCCCCCCCCCAACACCGCCACTTCTCTTCCCAAATTTCCACTTCAATACGGTTCGAAGAGACGGAGACATTATGTGACGAGCCAACATTATTGCCTGTGCTGTGCCAGCATGGAGTGGCGTGAGAATTGTTTCTGCATGTTTTCAACTAACTCGATTGTCTTTTGCACAGAATGGTTTTACTCCACTGCACATTGCCTGCAAGAAAAACCGCATCAAAGTCATGGAACTGCTGGTGAAATATGGGGCTTCAATCCAAGCTATAACAGAGGTAGAAAAGCGTTCCGGCTTCTCACCAAACATTCCTTCTCTTACACCTTCCTCTTCCTCTCACCCATCCTCTGTCCTCTTCACTCGTCTTAATTACCTGAAGAAGCCCCCCCAAAGCCCACCGTGCAGAGGAGTAAAGCTACTGTTGCTTTGTTTCGCAGTCTGGCCTCACACCAATACATGTGGCTGCCTTCATGGGCCACTTGAACATTGTCCTCCTTCTGCTGCAGAACGGAGCCTCTCCAGATGTCACTAACATTGTGAGTATGGCTTGGGTCAGAATAACCACAGGGAGAAAGGACGAGGCATTCAGAGTGGGTGTGTGTGGGCCTGTGTGTGTGTCGTCAGAGCTCAGAGAAGGGCCTCTGAAACAACATTCTTGTAACCTAACATTTGGAACTTTCCGAAATGCAGAACCCAGGTGTCAGAAAATAAACGGAAGCTGGGTATTGACATGGCTTAGGCTTCCTGGTGCAGATGAAGGAAACATTCACCTAATGCATATAGGAAAACAGAATGTGTTTTTAAAACTCCCCTGAGACTGAGTGTGGTTGAACACACATCTGCGGTCTCTGGCTCTCAGGAAGCTGAGGCAGGAGTCTTGTGAGTCTGAGGCAGCCTTGGCAGTGTGCTTCAAACAAACACACACCTCTGAAAAAGAATGAAGGATGGCTTGCATAATAGTCTTCAGGGTTCACCCTAGCTTGCTTGAATGCATTGTATTCCAGGTAATTTCCGTTAGGGAAGCTCCAGAATCAGTCTTGGCAAAGACTAATCAGACAGAGGCTCCAGGGAGGATAATTGCTCTTCATATCAGAGTATCCTCTATTCTACACGACAGTCGCCATTTCCTAGTGAGTTTTAGCTTCCGTCTTATTCCTATGTGCAGTGAAGGTTTCTCACACCTGAAATAGGTATCAACAATATTGTGAAGTGAATGCTAGTTTCTGGGCACCTTTTTTTCTTGAAACTAAATACGGGGTGTCCCAGCATCCTGTCCGGCCTAAAGTTGGATATGTGCATTTCTCTTGCTGTCTTGAATCACCCTTCAAACTATCTCTGGTCACTTTTTCATTGCAATTAACCTGATACAGAATTTCCCCAAGGAAGGAGAACCCACTGTGTGTTTTTATTCAGATAATAGACACTCCCAGGACTGCAGGAGGATTCAGTGTTTAAAAAGCACATGCAACCGAATAATTCTCCCCACACGAACATCAGCAGTCACTGCTAAAGTTAACCTACTTGCAGCTGTTGGTTGCAGCATGGGCTCATTTGGGGCTGGCTCTCCCCGTGTGTGCTGTGACACAGAATGCCAGGGTTCTCTCTTACTGCACTCTTCCCACGTTCTCATTTCTCTGTACTTGATGCAGTTTTTGAAGGCTCTGGTGCTGGGACAGAGTCCATGAGAGAACCCAATTCATTTGATATACTCTTTATATTACTCAAGAGTGAGAACATAAAACCATTAAAGAATTGCAGCTCTATATTTATGTTTCCTTAATCGTAACTTATTGGCCCTAATATAACATTACGTGGCAATTTAATTCCCCAAGTACCGGAGTCATTTCCTAATGTGCCAACTTGAGCTTAATAGTTATTGAATGCTTAAAAAGTTCATGGGGCCAGAGAGATGGCTCAGTCATTAAGTGCTTGCCGTGTAAGTATGAGAGTCTAAGTTCCATTCATGTCACTCCATATAAAAGTCCTGTGTGTTTCTGCAGACCCAGAGCTCACTATGGAGACAGGTAGGAGGACTCCTGAGGCTTATGATAGTCTAGCAATTGATGGGCTTCGAGTTTGCTGGGAGACTCTGTCTCAAAAAAATAGGTGGAGAGCAATTGAAGAACTCATCTGAATCCCTGGCGTGCGCACACACACACACACACACACACACACACACACACACGCACGCGCATGCATACATGCACACACACATACACACACACAGAAAAAGAACAGAATTCGTCTTTTTGCTCCATATTAATCTTTTGTTTTCGAAAACGCTATCAAAAGCTTACAGAGACAGATCAGTAGTGGGAATTATTTTACTCAATAGCAAATTCTCCCTTTTTATAATTACATTACATGGATTTGTCATTTCCTGTCATTTTTAAATTTTTATTTCATTTTATTTTCTTTTTTTAAAAAAATTGAACCTGAACAGTCTTGCACACAGCGCAGTAACTATCAAGAAAAGCACACCTGTGTGCCGACCCACTTTTGCTATTTTGTTTTTATTCTTTTTTTCCCCTATATTTTTCCACTTTTCTTACCTGCATTTCAGTACCTACAGGAATCGCAGAAGCAATAGTGATACGTTAAAATATATCATCATATCACTGCAGTGATGTCTGCAAGTATATTAAGCAGAGAGCTTGGATGAAATTTCTTTTTTTTCTTTCTTCTTTGGTTTTCCAAGACAGGGTTTCTCTGTGTTGCCCTGGCTGTCCTGGAACTTACTCTGTAGACCACTCTGGCCTTGAACTCAGGAATCTGCCTGCTTCTGCCACCTGAGTGCAGGGATTAAAGGTGTGCTCCACCACTGCCCAGCTGAAGTTTCTTTTAGTAGACAGTTTTGAAAATTCTTCACAAGATAATCCACAACCAACCATTTAAGTGACCAATTCTGAATGGTTTGTTGATCACTGTACTGTCGTGTGGTATCCTCAGGAACACGGAGAGTAAGCCTGCCCTCAGATTTCCAGTGTTCCCAACCTTCAGTTTTTGCAAGAATCTTGGATTTGGCAATGACTGTGTGAATCTTTAACTCCCACAAGACAGTTGTCCTAAATTTCTTCACTGGTTTCGTCTGTTTGTTCCTTATATTGTCTCTCTTCTGCCCCCTCCAAACAAACACTTGGGACACACCAGTCAACCCCCACCCCCTTCTCTACAGGATCCCTGGATGGTTTTTTTGTTTGTTTGTTTGTTTTTTCATTTTGTTTTTAAAAACTATATCCTTCCGATAGGAGAAAGTGTGGAGTTGCTGGTCAGGATACAAAACTCCCTGTTCAATTTTCATTCCAGATAAACACTGGATTCCTTTGCGTGTGAGTAGATGTCATGCAACTGTTGAAACGTGATAAAATAATTACTCGATTGTCTGGAATTGAAATTGAAATGAACACTTGAACTTTTTATTTGCTAAATCTGGCAACCCTACATCAGACAGAATGTCACCTTCTCTAGCAGTGTGGTGCCTGTGAACTTGTGTGTTCTCCAGATATTAAGACATTGCTACTGGACCCAGAACTTTGCGATTTGATTACAGAGCTGTGTGGACACAGACTGCCTGCTTGCTGTGACAGTGTCAGTCCTGTCCTGACCCCAGTGCGCTCACCCTTGGCACCTCTGTGTGTTGCTGACATTGTGTTGCATCCAGAATGCATTTCTGTCTTTTGTGCTTTGATGCTTTCCAACTAGATGCAACCAAAGTGGGAGTCAATGTAGTTGTCTGCTGAGCCAGTTTCAGAGTTGTGGGAGAGAGGCATGATTCTTGGTGCTCGCTTTGGACGTGAACATGCGCATTCTCCTGCCAGTTTTGTTTTGCCTGAAAAATTCACACCAAGTCTCAGATGCACCAAGAACTCAGACATTTGCAGACATATTTTTTTCCTGACAAATTCCCTTCCCATAAAATTTGTATGTGAACTTTAACTGGTAACCTGTGCTCTATAAAACTCCCTAACATATTCACTGACAGCTGTGAGAATAGAGCAGCAAGCACTTGGGGGCTCTGGAGAGTACAACATGGGTCACTAAGAATTTCTATCCCCTTAAAACCAATTAGAAGATTTATGCTTAATTTCCCACTTTATATCATTTTATTATTATTATTATTATTATTATTATTATTATTTACAAATCTCTAAAGTTAAGTTGTTTAAATAGGATATCAGACTATCCTTAACGATCAGGAAGGAGAAGGTCCCAAGTAAGGCAATATGCAATATTTGTCGAGTTTATTTTCCTTATCCTTCGGCACAAACGTTAGGAATTTAAATATAAAGAGGTAATCACCAGTTTATAGTAAATGTCAGTTACTCCAGAGTCCTTAAATGAGACTTAAAGGAGACAATCCTTATGAAGTAGGGTGAGCCATTGTGAGTACGTAGTCAACTGCTCCTGGACTAGGAAGGTCAGGCTTTACGTCATGCATATATATATATTTCATCAAATATATATATATTTCATCACTTCAAATGTGTAGAAGCCAGAGGATGACTTAATATAGGTATAAAAATAAAGGGTTTTTTTAAAAAATACTAAGACTAGCATTAGAAATATTTTTATATTTTGAAAACATAATAATAAGTGTAGCTTAAAAATAAGCATGTAAATTCAATGAACTCCTACGGGCATCTTTGACTTAATTTCTAAAAAGAATCATCTTGCCTTTATTTCCATAAAATTACTGAAATAGCAAATCTTCATCAGACCTAAAAATGAAATTTTGGGTTTTTCTTTTTTGTAATTATAAAAGTCTCTAATTATAAGATAAAGATAAAAGTTATATAATTATAATATGTGTGGATTACAGAAGAAAAAAGGATAATGCCATGGTTGCCAAAGAAGAAAGCTCTCACTCTATATCTGAACAATTAAAGACAAACTTGACTAATGCCATTTTATAAAATAAATTTCATATACATTTGCTTTAAAAGTCAAAATTTGCACCAGAAAATAAGGCCCACAGAAGACGAGTTAACTGTCGGTGAAAAGAGAATTTTCATGTCAACTTCTAGGTCAATGTTTTCTAATCACATCACTCGACACAAGTTTCTCATACCTCCCAAAACAAAGGACATCATGATGTGAAAAGGGGGCCATGAGCAATGAACCCCCCTAATTTCACATTATATCTTTTAAATTTAAGAGTATTTTGTGCAAAGAATCAGAGGATGTTGCTCATAGGAAGTTTTCAGAAACATCCCATCCCAACATAGGCAAGTTTGAAGTCAATTTAGTTCCTGTGGGATGTGTTCCTCTGCTTGGTTATTTATTGTTGGCTTACCCTCTACAACAGTTGTGCTGAGTCAACCTGTCTTATTCTAATATCGTAGTCTAACTATGAGATTATTTGAGTGACAAAATCTCTTCCCCCTTCCATGATAACAGGTTCCCCTATGAGAATAATCCCTTGTCTCTAACCACTTTCTTCATCTTCTCCTGAGGAGTATGTCAGACCTTGGTATGGCTTAGACAGCCGAGGATGCCCATGAAGCAAATGAAACTGTTAACAGCTGCTTCCCTTACCTCTTGGTAACCTTCTGTATCACCATTTATAATCAAATACAACCATTAAAATAAGCAGGGTACCTCCTGGAAAACTTAGTTTTCTCTTATGAGTAGTTGTGGTCTAATTTCATAACAAAAAGACAAATCAGACATAAGATTTTGTTCAGAAGGAAGGTTTGCAATTTGAGAGGAAATTATTTATGTATAATATAAGTGATGTGATTTATTTTTGCAATGTGTTGACTTGACCTTTGACATCTGGAGTTTCTCATTGAATGGGATACATGACAGATTTTAGGTTTGTAGGATGAAAGAACACACCTTCACCTAACCCCAATAAGTTACACAAGACTGGTGCTGAAGTTAAGCCATAGGGCATTCTGGATGTTTGGGTAAGTTCATTCGCTTGTCTTCGATGGAAATCATTTATAAACGTTGATCCTTCTAAAGATAGAGATGATGCAATCCTATGTTTTTCTAAACCAAATAATTATGCCTCCTCATAGATCATTTATACACTTGGATGTCTTGCTGAATTTCACCAAAAAGGACATCTTTATTCTTTGCTATCGAGAGCAATGGGTTTATTTATGATTGGTCAATCTTTGTTTCCTGGCAGCGTGGTGAAACAGCACTTCACATGGCAGCCCGGGCTGGGCAGGTGGAAGTGGTCCGATGTCTCTTGAGGAATGGTGCTCTTGTGGATGCCAGAGCCAGGGTAGGTGCTAGCTCACCATCATTCTTCTATTACAGCATGTGACCCCCCTTAGTAAGATAGGGTGTCTTTTTTAATTCTTTAATTTTGAGTTTCCACAGTGTAACTTCTCATTACTGTGATAAATACTTGAGAAAATAACTTAAAGGAAGGAAAGCATTTTTTGGGCTAAGTGGACCAGGGTTCTCAGACTATGATTGGATGGATCCATATTTCTGGACTTGATGTGAAGCTAAATAGCACAGCAAAGCAAAGCTATACACTTCATAGTGACTGAGAAGCAAAGAGGATACATGTGCATGCTTTTGCTAGTGCACTTTATCCAGGGAACCCAGTCTATTGGATGGTGATGCTCACAATTAGGGAAGATTTACTCCCCATCCTTTAGTTAATCATCTCTGGACATACCTCCACAAATGTTCAGAAGTGTTCACAACCAATCTTGTAGGTGTTTCTCAGTCTCTCAAGTTAACTGTCAATAGGAGCTACCATAGGGTATTAAATTGAGAACATTAGATCAATAATACTTTAGAAAAAAAGAAATACTATGTAAGTGCCTACAATGAAAATACATTGAAGTTATGGGAACATTTGAATGGGGTATAGCTTTATTTGCTACATTTGGCATGCAAGAAGTATAGAATTGACTTTATCAGTCTTTAATCTTGAAAAATCACTTTCACATTTACCATTCTGTGATTTTATAGTCTTGTCTGTATTATATAGCACTATACATACTAAACATCATTTCTTACTACCAGAATTAATCAGATTTGCATACTGACTCTTTCCAAGTTACCTAAAAACAAAATGGTTTCAAACTTATAATGCTTTCCTTTCCCTGTTTTATTTTCCCTATTTTTAAATGTCTACTTTTCTGTCTACTTTGGTGTTTATATATTTGAATATTATGCATATTAATTTTCCCAGAATAATAGTCACTGGAGATCACCTGATCACATTTGTCCATTTTCAGTCAGTTCTAACTTCCTCATAGTTGTTTTTTGCTTCTTTTTAAAAAATTTAATTCCCTCCCTTTGTGTTGCATCTTTCTTTCCTAAATGCAGTTATGCTTCCTTTCCCTACTATATTTTCTATTTTTTCATATTGTCCAAATAGAAATGAAAGGTTTCAACTTTAAGGTAGTAAAACTATATACAACAAAACAGCTATCAAGTAAGAATTACATTTACAATATTCAGTCCATTTGTATTTAGCAAAATACAAATTTCAGCTAAATTCTGAGAAAATAGTCCATTATCTGTCTTTTCTTAGTATCCCAAAGTTTTGTAACTAATTTACTTTGATCATAATTAAGGAAAACTATAACTCTAACTATTGAGTTTTTAACTCCATCTAAGATCCCAGAATGATATAATATTACCTAACAACAGAGACATCTGACTGTCTGGACAGTCACCCAAAGTTCCTCTGCAATGTTGTGGCATCCATCTTCCACTTACTGGGTAGAATATCTTCTGGCAGACTTTTCAGTGAAGCAGGAAATTTGAAGGACTATCCTGCTTTGTTTTGGAAAAGTTCTTCAGTTGCTTTTCTTTGTGTCCTGAAGAATGTCTGGTAGATTTTTCTGTGTAGCAGGAATCTCAATGGACTGTCCTGCCTTGTCTTGGAAAAGTTCAACAGTCTTTTTTCTGTGTCCTGCTTGTCTAGTCTGTACAGCATACTGTTAGCAGTCAAGGAAATAACAGTTTCTTACCCTAATGGCTAGCCTTGCTGTATTGAAAGCAAACTCCATATGGAGTTTCTTTGATATCCATTATCCTTTTATGAAGCAAATTGATGCTGCCAGGATCAGATTTTTCATTGACATGAAAAACCTTAGGTTATTAAACATCTTACATGTCATATTCTGTAGGTCTTTGAAGTGTTTGAAAATAATCTGTCTAAAATATACCCACTTAACCTTAAAAACATACCTAGTGTGACTAAAGGTTGATTATTATGATTAACTACTCTTTTCTTAATCATACATTGCATTTTAAAATAATCTACATAAGCACAAGACCCCAAACAGGAATAGAGACATATATACTGTATAACAAAAACAACTTAAAATTTGAATCAATATATCAAAATCCATGCCAATGCAAAATATCTGATATTAATGGTAGTCCTTTTATCCTGTATTCCTGTATCCCCCCAAATGATAACAGACATCCATAACTCATCAGGTAGCCAACAGCCACTCACTCTTTCTCTTGGGAATGTGGGCATTGAGTTTCCCAGACTGCTTCTTGTTGCCTAGGGAGAAAACATCTTTAGTGATTACAGAGAAAATTGAGATAATGGCCAAGTCCTGGAAAGATCAGCTATAACCTTTGCTGACATGCATCACCTGTCAAGATTCAGGAAATCTCACCAATCATACCTAATCCATATTAATTCTGAAGAAACCCGCAGTCTCTCCTTTTCTGTGGAAACAAATGCAAAAATCCCTTCCCCAAAGCATTTTTGTTGACCATTTGACAATGTTTTTAAAATTCTTTTTTAAAGTTAAGATAGCGCTAAAGTATCTAAATTGATCAATTTAGCAGTCTCAATCACAATCCCATGTCTCTTAGCAGCTGTCATTTGTTTATCATCAATTAAAAAATTCGAAATCAACATAATACTGTGTAGGGTCCAGTCTCCATGTGTATTTTCCATCTCTACATGGCTTATTCTTTATATATATTTTACTTTATCATTTTAAAGCTATTTTTCTTTATATATTTTATTAAATATATGTTTATTAAATATATATTTAAAGCTATTTTATTTATATATTTATAAATATGTATTTACTTTATCATTTTATATATACTTTATAAATATATATATGTATTTACTTTATCATTTTAAAGCTTTTTTTCTTTATCTGTTTACACTCTCTTTTCTCTCTTAAGCCTATGTGTATTTTAAACACACTCTAGACTGTTTCACGCTTATTTCCATCTGGATCTGCTTTACTGCATATCTTTTAACTTTTTTTTGACTGCATGAGACTTTAAAGTGACTGGTATGTGGTATGGCTAGGATCTCCACTCCTTTAGTGACTTTAGTGACTTTAGTGGCTTTAGTGACTGGCTCTGCCCACTTCTCGGCAAAGCCTAAAGCTCACAGGTCCTGTCAGAGGTAGGTGACCAAGAACTACATTCAACCCCATAGATCCGGAATGCCAGTGCCCTACACTGTGGCAGGTATTTTTATTTAGTTTTTTTTTTGTTTTGTTTTGTTTTTTGTTTCTACTTAGTTTGAAAAGGGCTGTTTAAATGCTGTGCTGCGTGGCAGAACGTCTTAAAGGGACCGAGCCATGTCCTTTTTTTAAAAAAAAGTTTTCACAGGCCCTGTGAAAATTTGAGCCTCATGTTAGAATGTCAAATGTAAGGCCTTTTTGTTTTGCTTTTTGTTTGTTTGCTTATTTTAACTCTTTGGGGGCCTGCCACCCAGCACCCAAATAAATTCATAGAGACTTATACTTATGAATGCCCGGTCTTAGCTGATTTTTTGCCAGTTTTTCTAACAATTTAAATTATTCACTTTGCCTTAAACTACATTTTGCCTCTGGGCTTTTTAATTTTTTTTTTATTCTATATATCTTTCTTTCCTTTTCACTCCGTGTTAGGTTGTGTGGCTGGGTGACTGACCCCTGGCGTCCTCCTCTCCTTCTCCTTTTTCTGCTCTTCCATCCTCATGTTCTTCTTTTGAGCCTGAATTTCTCCTCCTGCTAGTTCTCTCTGCCTTCCAGCCCCACCTGTTTCTCTCTCCTGCCTACCTATTGACGGTTCAGCTTTTCATTAGACCAATAAGGTGTTTTAGACAGGCAAAGAAACACAGCTGTTTAGAGTTGAACAAATGTGGCATAAAAGATGTGGCATACATCTTTGTATCAGTAAACAAGTATCCCACAGCATAAACAAGTGTAACACATCTTAAACCAATATTCCATAATGCCTAAATGCACTTGAAATCCTTCATCTTGATAGTCCTCTGTTATCAGCAAGGTACATTCCTTACAGAGCAGTCACAACACCTGAGTACCCTTTTCATCGCAGGCTGGGACACTATTCTGCATTTCTAACAAGGATCCAGGCAGTGCCAATGACCTCCATCTTGGAACATATACCTGTGATAGTTATAGTAATTCTGAACCAGAATTACCCTTTCTTGCCATGTTTTCAGGTACATTTGGGCCAGGAGTTTTGGCTTTTGTTTGACCAAATCCTTTAATGTTTTTCTGGGGCTTTGTGATTTCATTAACATCTGTTTGATGCTATATAATTCATAAAACATTTTCACACAAGTTATTTTCTGTGCAGTGCAGCTGGTGTTGAAGGGTGGTTTAGGGTCCTATACTTCAAGATTTCATGGATGAACTGTGGTCACAGAATTAGAGTAAATAAAACACCTCCCATATCCCTGATTATTTTCTCCTAGCTGCCAGGAGACAATAATCCCTCACCAATAAAGGCCCCTGACTGGGACGTGGCTTGCTGAAGGAAGCCAACAGAGTTATGTATCTTAGGCTCTCATTTTACAGTGTAAATCTAGAAGTTGTCTAGCTCCCTTTCTGCCCCACCCACCCCCAAAAATAGGTAGTTTTTAGTCATATTCTATCTTGAGCCTGAGATCAACCATGGGCCCTGTCCATGATGCAGCCTATTAGGGAGGAGAAAGTGATGATTGACGTCCCTTCTAGAGCCACAAGACTAGGAGATGTCTGCTTTCTCCAAAGGAGGAAGAACAGCTCTCAGAAGAGGGTGGGCAGGTACTGGACATGAAGGAAGCAGGCTGTCACCTGTTCTATGTCCTAGTCACGTTTATATAAATTCCTTTATTTACCTGATAAATAAATAAATACTTCTCTGGTACTCATCCATTTCAGAAAAGGAAATATTTTAAAATTATGCTCATTTATTACATTGGGCTTATGCTCAAGAACTCTTGGTATGTAGTTTTGTCTCTTGAATTTTTAAAAGTAATATGTCATCATCATATAAACAGGGGTTTAGTCATGTTTTTCCCACTTCCAATATGTAACAAAAGAAAATGCATGTAATCACAATAATATTTAATTTTTAAAGTGCTAAGTTGGGGCTGAAGGTGGAGCTCATTGCTAGAGGAGCCACATAGACTAGCAAGTTATTGCCCAGCACTGCCACCCCCAAAAACCAGAAATACAGGTATTCCATTCTCATCGGGCCAGGTCACGAGGCATATTTTTCTAGACAGATTTGCGGTCACTATACATTCGTGTCTTGGTGAGCCAATGTTTTGACCTTGGCCTGTCCTCTCTGGAAGTCCCTCTTTGTCCTTTGTCCTTCGTGTATTTAAGTCAGAAGCCTACCAAGGTCTGCCCTCTGGAATCCCTTTTGTTTAGAGATGTGTTCTGTTGGCACAGTTGTAGGCCTGGCCTTTGCTTTTAGGTTTGAGCAATGGCAGGATCCTAAGGCTAAAGCTAAGTTGAAACTCTACTCCTAAAATTTTGCTCCGCTGATAGCAGACGTGGTTCAGGGGAACATTAATAGCAGGAATCTCATCAAAATTTTAAACCTTGGCCCAACTGCTGTTCTTTCTATCTTTTTGTAAAAAGTTTGGGTTCAGCAAGTCTTCCTAATTGTGGTTGCCTAGGAACAAAATAAATAGTAGACTTCCATAGTGAAGCAGAGACCACCTGCTTCCTGTCTGGGCTGTGGCCCAGTCCCTTATGTTTCATGAAAAGTCCTTCTTGGAAAGGGTCAGGGGACCAGAACTCCTTTGTAATTTTGCCGTTCTCATGAGTCCTCTGTGCTTTCCCAATTCTGTGTCTTGATTTCAGTTAACTTTATCCTGAGGTAGCAGATACAAGTTTTGCAGTTCATCAAAGAAATAAATGCCCAAGCCTGAAAAGACTTTATATGCCTGCTTAAACATTGAAGGGTTTTCATAATGACAAAATTATGTTATTTCCTTTTTCACTTTCAGATAGAAATATACCAAAAACATTTTTAAAGTAGATAAAGCATGATTAACTTTTATTTAAGCAAACCAATAAAAAAGTGAACAGACAAGTCCTTCCCACTCTGGGGTCTGAGGGCTAGGGATTCTCAGTAAATCATTTACTCAGTAGCTACTAGTTCATTAACCAATATCGCTAATCCAGTAACTACTGCCAGTTAGAGACTGTCACTTGTAGAGAGGGCTCCAAAGGTCACCATCCGCCGACCTCTCCCTACTCTCTAAAATCCACAATTTCCCCATACACGTAAAATAAAATCAATACTCTTAAAAAATAGTTTTCAAAGCTACACATGAATGTGTCAGTCTCTGCACCCCCCTCCACAGGGCTCTCCTGACAGAAATCTACAGGAGGCCCTCGCTGCAGACGGTCGCTGGGGCTCATCTCAGGGTCCCGACTTAATGCTTCTTCTCCATTTATTCCTCTGCTTATTCCTGCTCACTTTGTCCCGGGTTGTTTTCTTCTTGGCCATCTTACTGTATCTCTTTTGAGACCCAGTTACATTCTCATTCTTTTTAACTGGAAAAATTAGCAAATAGTACATTTTATGCTTCCTTTTGGTGCTTACTATGGCAAGTCATATATGCAACATGCATAAGAGAAATTCATAAGCTGCAGATTTTTATAGAACTTGAATTCGGTCTGTAAAATAATTGTGTTGCTATTACTTGTTAATTTCTTCCTTCTTTAAAGTCTGTGTGATTTTATTTCATCTCTTCCTATGTATCTTTTTAAAAAAATAATGTTAAAATATTATATTTATTTGGATGGATCTATTTTTTTTCCATTCATTTTTATCCCTGGCAGCTCCCCCAGCTTTTCCTTCCTTGCTTTTAAGGTGACTTACCCTGGGGAAGATTATAAAGATACACCCCTTTGCATTCCTAACAGTATGCTCCATTTTACTTTTATAAGAGACAGTGGCTTTCCCTAGTTCTTAAACCCTGAGAACATTATCTGTGACTACACGTTCGAGTCAGGTGATCTTATGCGCCTTGCTGGGTATGTTCTTTCTATCCCTTCTACTCAGCTCCATCCTCTCGGCTTTTAGAACAACAACAACAAAAAAAAACCACTTGGCAGAGAGTTCCCTCCATTTTCATTTTGCCAGCGTTCCATTTCATCTTTGAAGTCGTAGATGTGTAGTGCAGGCCCATCTGCAGGGCTTCCTGGAACAGCCTCTCTTTAAATCATACCACAATGCCGTCTTTATTTGCAGTTCTCCTAGAACAAAATGACCAGCATTTGTGTCCTTGGCTCAGGAGAGAAGTAGGACTAGCATTTCCCAGCTTCCTTGGGTCTTCTCTCTTGGTTCGGTTCCCAGAATAAATCCTGCCTCTCAGTGAAGGCTCTTGGAGGAGAACCTAGATCTTAGGAGTTCTGGACTGGATTTCTTTCTCCTTCAAAATCATGAGTTCACATACAAGTAAGCATAAGATAGGGTTGGAGACTTAAGTAGTTAAGAGATGCTCTTTGGGTGTTCATCAAGCAATGACCAAGTTTATGGAAGTATAACCTATTTAAAAATCTAAGGGAGGGCTTAGTGGTTAAGAGTACCCACTGTTCTCTCAGAAGACTGGTATTTAGCTTCCACACTCACATGGGGTTCACAGCTGTCTGTAATTCCAGTTCCAGGGGCTCTGATGTCTCTTCTGACTTCCACGAGAACTGCACATGCATGCCTGCACTTTCATACATGTACACTCACACACATAAACAAACAAACATATAATTTAAAAAAAAAAAACTTAAGGGAGATTTTGTAACCAAATTGATCACACTCTACAACAAATACAAATGAAGCCATGACAGGATAGTAACAATTTTTGTTTCTGAGTAGAGAGTCTAGAGATGTGAAGAAGGTTTCACCAAGTATTTGAGAGGCGCACCTTCCTAGTAAGACTGGGCTTGCCAGACGCTAACTGATCTCTTGCCTTGAGTTGTAGGAGGAACAGACGCCTTTACATATTGCCTCCCGACTGGGGAAGACAGAAATTGTCCAGCTACTTCTACAACATATGGCTCATCCAGATGCAGCCACTACGAATGGGTACACACCCCTGCACATCTCTGCTCGGGAAGGACAGGTAGACGTGGCCTCTGTCCTGCTGGAAGCCGGAGCAGCACACTCCTTAGCGACCAAGGTGAGGGGGCAGCTAGGAGAGTACACGTTCCAAGTCAAGGCCGTGCTCAACTGCAGAAGTTTCTAGGAGGGGAAAAATCTCTGTCAGGCCTCTGACTTGCGTCTTCCTCAAATTGTTTAGATGATGATCTAAATGATGAGAAGGGATTGCAAAATTTTATGTAACATTTTCAAAAAAAAGTCTCATATTCCCGCCTTCTAGTTGAAGTATATGCCTTTGGTATAAGCATCCAGAAATGTAATTATTATAACTTCTTTACCACAAAGCAAAGGTTACTCTTTTTTTATAGTAAAAAGGGTATAGATATATTATCTAGGGGGAAAAGGCGGGTCCCTAATATGTTGAAATGGCATCAGTGATGAAGTAGAAAGCACTGAATTAGATTAGCACTGTTCTCTGCTGGGTAACAGAGCCCAGGGACAGCTCCTTTTGCTTTGCCCCGCCTTTCCCAGTATTAGTCCCATCACCTCTCATTTGTTTCTCATTTCCTTTGTAGTACCCGACTGTATCAGTTACTTTTTTGTTGCTAAGATAAAATACCATGACCAAAAGCAGCTTATATAAGAGAGAGTTTATTTTGGCTTGTGGTTCCAGAAGGTCGATGTTTATAATGACAGGGATGACATGGCAGCGGGTAGCCAGAGAAGGAACCTGGGTGGTCACATTTTATCAGCACACTAGGAAGTGGAGAAAAAATGGGAAGTAAGGCCAGGCTGTAAACATTCAGAAGCTATCCCCAGTGATATACTTCCTCTAGCACGGCTGTACCTACTCAAGGTCCCATAACTGCCCCAAAGAGTGTGACCAACTGGGGACCAAGTGTTCAGATGCCTGAGCCAATGGGGTCCCTTATCCAAATCACCACAGCAGCCTTTCCTGCCTTCACTCTTGTCCAAGTTATCTTCAGTGTCTAGACAGAACCGGTTTGCACATCATCTCATGAGCACATCAGCACAGGTACTAACCCCAAACAAAGACTATAATATCCTAGCCTGTGTGCAAGGCTCCATGGTGATACAGGGCTGCTTTTCCTTCTCTTGGATTTATTCGCTAGGAATTCACTACATGGAGATGAGTTACAATAAGGCATGAACATGCCCACATACCTGGAGCAAATTAGATGGCGGTAGGGCAGACGAACAGAAAAACAAGGCACATAGAATCCTAGAATACATGAGCTTGTCCCAGGGCAAAATGCTTTCCACACATGCAGTAGCAGTTCAGACGAATTAAAATGGCATTACTTAATAAATGGAGTAAATACTGTGCCTGACTAGAAGGAAGGGATTAAGTGTGGACTGCAATAGTGGGGTAGCCTCTGAGCCCTCAGAAGTGAGAACTGCCCAGTAGATACCATTAGTACAAGCCTACTGGAACACGACTGTCAAAAATGTTCAGAAATGGGGCTGGAGAGATAGCTTTGTAGTTAAGGGCACCTGCTGCTCTTACAGAGGATCTGCCACTCACAAAGAAATGTACAGCCACCTGAAACTCCAGTTCCAGGGAATTTGACGCCTTCTACTGCCCTCTGAAGTGCCATGGGGTGCACAGTCATACATTCAGCTGTGCACTCTGATACATAGAATAAGAATAATATATCTTTAAAAATGTTCTGACATAACACATTGATAAAACTTCAAATTATGACACCTGAAAAGGTGAACAAATGTTAAAAAAAATCTTCAAAAAGAAAAAAATCAGAACTTAAAGACTAAGCAACAAATGTCCAATAGATAATGGTAACCCATGAAACACGGCAGTCATCTCAGTTGATGAGGGTATAGAATTAACATGTGTAAAGGTAGAAGAGTGGAAAATAGTCTCTTGTCTTTCAAGGGTTTTTTAGGATTGAAAGAATAACCAATGCCATAGTACAGTAGGGTAATAAAATAGAAGCGATTGTTAAACAGAAGAGTTTAGTGACCAAGGTCGGCTGGATGTTGGTGACTCATCATCATTAAAGCCATCAAAGTGTTCATAAATACCAGAGGGAGAGGACGCGCTGCTGAGATTCACATGGGAAGAAGTGGTCCTGTGGCTCGAGAGATGACCCCTACCTTTACCCATCATTGTGTAGTGACACCACTATGCAGTCTTGTCTGGTAAGGGTTTCCAGCTGTACAAAGGGGTCGGCACAGCTCCAGCTGAGTTGTAAGGACAAGGAGCTTCCTTTTCTTCCTCCCTGTGAGGCTGTGGCAGAGAAATCAGCTTCACCCCAGGCTAGCGCCATCCAACCCTCATGTGCACAGGGTGCGTGGAGCAGAGCCTTGGCAGCAGTCGAGTTTCTGTGGATGGATGATAGAGGAAGAGGTAATTCCCACATCTGTCCCACACAGGGAAAAGGCCAGAAGATCCACTCTCTTCCAAGAACTATTAAGATCCTTTTTTCCTCCTTTCTTTTTTAATAGAAAGAAAAACATTATCTTAATTAAAATAATTTGCCTTATGCCACGATGAAAGGGCAGTATTGGTTCTTGGGAGAGGACTATTTGAATCATTGAACAGTGGTTTTGATGGGGACTTAGTTAGGGTCTTTTGCTTTGAAAAAACGCCATGACCAAAAAGTAAACTGGGGATAAAAGAGTTTCTTTGGAGTACACGTCTATACTGCTGTTCATTTTTAAAGGAAGTCAGGACAGGAACACAAACAGGGAAGGATCCTAGAGGTAGGAGATAATGCAGAGGCCACGGAGGAGTTCCACTTACTGGCTTGTTCCTCATGACTTGCTCTCTTATATAAGCCAGGACCACCAGCCCAGAGATGGCCCCACTGTGGGCTGGACCCTCCCCCATTGATCACTAATTGAGAAAATGCCTTACAGCTGGATCGTATGGAGGCGTTTCCTCAACTGTGACTCCTTCCTCCCTGATGACTAAGCTTGTGTCAACTTGACACACAGAGTCAGCCAGTACAGGGACTTAAATAGTGCTCAGGGCAGAAGTGCAGAAGTATTTGCTGCATTTATTTTATTTATTTTATTTATTTTATTTGCTGGTCAGGGTTAGACTTCTCCAGCTCCCACTACTGTTCCAGAAAAGCATGTGACTAAAGTGTCTGCCCTGGAGGATGCATAGACACCACAGCTCAGGATCTGTGCCACCTGGAGGTTTCAGGACTGGGGCTCTATTTATAGCGTGCTCCTCACTGAAGTATGGCTGTTGGTTAGGCTCACAGGACAATGTGCATATAAATGTATAGGATAGGCATCTTTTTATTATTAATAAAATTTATTCATTTATTTTACAATCCAACTGCTGATTCCCCTCCCTCTTCTTTCCCCATTCCCCCCTTCCACCTCTCCTTTGCCCTCCTGCCTAATCCACTCTCCTTTGTTTCTGTTCAGAAAGGGGCAGGCCTCTCATGGGTATCAACAAAGCACGATTTACCAAGTTTTGGTATGACTAAACTACCCCACCCCTTGTATTCAGGTTTGGCAAAGCAACCCAGTAGGAGAAATAGGTTGCCCAAAGTCAGACAAAGCATTAGGGACAGTTTGTACTGTTACTGCTAGGAGTCCCATAAGTAGACCAAGCTATACAACTGTCACATATATGTAGAGGGCCTAGGTTGGTCCCATGCAAGCTCCCTGGTTATTGGTCCAGACTTGGACAGGCATCCTTTAAAAGCACATTGTTGAAGCTTCAGTGTGGTTAAGTATCTGGTATTGGTCAGCCAATGGAACACCAGGACGATAGATTTGAGTAGATAAATTGGTCTTTTGGACAGCATGGTCTTCTGGGAAAGGGGAGAAATGTCAGAGTGTTAAAAAGATATTTTTAATAGAATATTTTTATTATGTAGATAATCTAGCCAGTTTTGCAAAAAAAAGAGTCAGTTGAGTCAAATAATTATTTTTAACCCAAGCTTCCTAAATATTCTAAAATTTAAAGAAATATTTTTTAATAAAAAATATTAAAGAAAGAAATCAAAGGCAGCTTTTTACTTGATTGTGTTCACGTTAGAGGCAAGAGGAAAGGCGGGCTTTTGGGTATTTTGTTTTTCATTCATAAATCAGAACAGTATACTAACACCAGAGGATATTATGAATCTCAGATCTGTTAACGGCAAGTCACAGTCCCCAGGACTTCAAATACATTTGTTGTTGTTCACCCCATCAAGCCTTACAGAGCTTCTACCAGTTTCTCTTAAATGTCACTCCTAACCCTTTTGCTTATTCATGTAACAGATATCATGCTATCATTTTTTACAAATGGAGAATCAATAGTGTTTGCTTAATGGGTTAACAAAAAATTTTGTAAAGACTTGAAGTAAAAAAAACCCAAAAAACTAATTTTCTTGTATATATATATTTTTTGTCACACTATAGAAGGGTTTCACTCCCCTGCATGTAGCAGCCAAGTATGGAAGCCTGGATGTGGCAAAACTTCTCTTGCAGCGCCGCGCAGCCGCAGACTCGGCAGGAAAGGTAAACAGTTTCCATAGTATGTTTTAATCATGCGACTCTGTTGACTTTGTTGTTTGTTTGTTTGTTTGTTTTTTTGAGACAGGGTTTTTCTGTAGCTTTGAAGCTCTTGTAGACCAGGCTGGCCTCGAACTCACAGAGATCCGCCTGCTTCTGCCTCCCGAGTGCTGGGATTAAAGGCGTGTGCCACCACAGTCATCAAAAACGATGATGAATGCTCCAGGCAACAGTACAGCAAATACACACATATATGGCCCGACTGTTGTTGGACACTACAATTTAGAAGCTTTTTTTTCTTGCAGTGTCTCTAATGTGTATTCTTATCCTAAGGAGCCCACGGCTCCTCTATGCCAAGAAGAATCCTTGTGACGTACACAGAAATTTAACTTTTGTTTGTCATGACCAGAAAGCTGCCCTTTGCTAATTTTCAGCACAAAATTTTCCATTTTAGTTGTGTTTCTAATATGAAAATTATCATGTTATGTTTTTCTTTCCATTGACCACATTAATTAATTAACATGTAATTAATTGATAGCACCGTCCATGCATCCTGGTAGCTTCAGAGCAGCTAATGCTAATGTATTAATGCTGAGATTTAAACACCACCCTTACAGAATGGCCTTACCCCGCTCCATGTTGCTGCTCATTATGACAACCAGAAGGTGGCGCTGCTGCTGCTGGAGAAGGGTGCTTCCCCTCACGCCACTGCCAAGGTGAGGACCACAGCCCTAGCTGCCATGGAGCTATAATCTGAGTATACATGGACCTTGCTTTCAAATAACTGCAATAAAATAGTTATAATTTTTGATAACGTTTTTCCTATTTTTTCTGTTTCTAGCAATTGCTTTGTCTAAAAACCTTTTTTTTTCTTTTTGCAATTTTTAGCGCTGGAATTTATCAATTGAGAGTGCATAGGAGCTTGTGGAGATGAATCTTCTTCCTAGTAGTCAGTGCTTTAGATACTGAGAAATGTAACCTGACAAAGGCAATATAGGTTTTTTTCCTTCTTGCCTATAAAACAGAACTTTCATATCCCCGTTCTTTCTAGCACCAAACTTCTCACTCTGCCCCTATAAAGAGTCTCTTGTTTCTTTGCCTTTTCAATGTGCATCTGGGTCAGCTGCATTGTGGATCCTTTTAAGTGGGCCTCTAGACTACCAACCCCTTCTTGGTGTATATCATTCAGCTGTAATCAAACACAGTTCCTGCCAAGCCTGGTTACCTATCAACAGACTATTTTAGTTTGTGCTGTTTATGAATATGTATTTATGTTGAAATTATACACGATGTCACATCTTTTAGTCACTCATTTAAAAAAGCATATTTTAGGATCACATTTTTAAAATATTGATAATGATTGGAAAAGAGTAAGGTCACATCAGGGTCCTAACAACACAAATCTTATCAGCCTTTGTGTTTCTTTACCTGTCAGAGCCTGGGTTATTCTGGGACTGCAACAGCATTTGCTCAATGGGAAAGAACACTCCAGTTAGAATACAAGCATTGTAGCAATACCATAGAAGTTACTCAATTTGATTCTGTGTGGTTAGAGTAGTATCTAATATATAGAATTCAGTGGTGTGAAATGGCGTGTTTGGGAGCATTATGGGCAGATTATAGTAAGCTCAGAGCAGGTCGTCTTTCAGGGAGACCAAAGGGTGAGGAAGAATCGAAGGAATGGGATTCTTAGCCTAGAAGAGAGAACACTCTAGAGAATTCGTTAGCTAGAGATGAAATCCACCTTCAGGTATTTAAGAATTGCTGCGTAGAAGAGGTATCTGCCACACTTTCTTGTTTGGGAGAGAATGTAATAATGAAGAGACTTTCAGGTTTGATGTTTTTATGTCTGTATCTATTCTAGAGTATAATGGGGGACTATTTTGTCTTTGGTTAAAAAAATGGGTATGGTTAGATGGAAATGTCATAAGTAGTAAGAGTTTGAATTAAAAAGCTTACATTTATCTTTTCTGGCTGGTTATGCTTTATTATTTCCATTGCAGATGAACATTTGAGTATTGACTAAGTGTTCTCTCTCTGTGTGTATGATGTGTGTGTGATGTGTGTATGTGTACTGTGTGTGTCACATCCATCTTTTTGTTTCTGTTGTAGAATGGTTACACTCCTTTACACATTGCTGCCAAGAAGAACCAGATGCAGATAGCTTCCACACTGCTGAGCTATGGAGCTGAGACTAACACTGTGACGAAGCAAGGGGTCACTCCGCTGCATCTGGCCTCACAAGAGGGGCACACAGATATGGTCACTTTGCTTCTGGAAAAAGGAGCCAATATCCACATGTCAACCAAGGTATTGTTTTCTAGACCCTGGCTTCAATAAAGTCCGCTAGAGAGATTTAAACAGAAGCCAAGCAAAGAAATGGGCTGTGTGTGTGTGTGTGTGTGTGTGTGTGTGTGTGTGTGCATGCAAAGGAAGCAAGGCTATGTCACAAACCCGAAGCTAGCAAGGAAGGCAAGCTAGAAAGCCAGGGAAGGGTGCCAGTTGTTCTCATGGGTTCACTTTTCATAAACCTGCATTGTGGGTCTTTACTTGTCTTTTCAAGTCACTTTATTATCTCTTTGTACCACTCTGAGTTCACAGTTTCTCAGCGTGGTGTGCACATCTCAAGAGGCTAGCCCATAGTTTTTAAGAACTAAGCACTTTGGCAGCCACAGTACCCTAGTTTCTGCTGGTTGTAATTGCAAATTGCAGTAAGAAAGTGGCTAGGGACCCAGGGACAGAGACAGATAAGAGTGTGGTTCCAACGTGAAGTTGGGCTTCAACAGGTAAATATGAGTTAGCAGGTCCGCGTCTACCACCCAAGTGGTACCTCTACCACCCAGAGTTACCTCTGCACTGTGGCCTGAGAACTTAGTAAAAGACAGACTTTAAAGCCACCTTCAGCCCATCTTAGATAGTGGATCTGGTTAGAAATCCATTTTATAGAACGCTCCACAATAATTTAAGTCCGCCCCCCTGCAGTGAATAGCCTTTGTAGATGACCATACTATTTTTAATAATAGTCAAACATATAAGGGTAAAATCATGCAAACGTGAAAGTGTATGCCTACTACAGACTGACTTATTTATATCAACCTGGAAACACCTGCCGAGAAACTGAAAATTATAGTTCTGCTTCCTACCCGGCCATTTGAGTCTCTTTGTGCTTTTTGTTTGTACCATGTGATTGGGCAAGATAAAAATTAAACTTCTCAGGATTTTTCACAAGCACTATGCTTTCCATGTGTGGCTAGTAACTTAACCAGTACCTTTTTTGGAATATCAAGAACACATTTGCTTACTGACATCAGTGGGGTTAGATGACAAGCTCCCTTTTGAGGAACTGTGATACTGTAGATTGTCTCCAGTGTGTCAAGATCTCTGGTCTCTGTCTTTACCACTCAGAAGTGCCCCATTGCATTCTTCATCTTTGTGTTGAAAGTCCTTTTTATTGAAAGTCCTCCCAGATCCTTTCTTAAAGAGTCGTGTTGTGGTCTCTTGTTGTGACAAAGTACTCGAGGTTGGGAACTTTATAAGGAATAGAATTGGCTTATGGTTCTGGAGGCTGAGAAGTCCAACAGGATGCTATGAGCACATCTGTGGCATCTGGTGAGGATTTTCATATTACAGAATGCAGTGGAGAGCATCACAGATGGAAGGTGGGCTCTTCATCCTCATGGACTCCAAGAAGTCTAAGTCAAACCAGTGACCCTAACTTCAAGTAGCATCAGTGTGTGAATCTGGATATTTAGTTTGTCTTGAAAATTTGACAGATATGCTTAAGCCATAACACAGGACTGGTATAGTCTTCCCAGATGCGAATTTTAAAAAGAATGAACATAAAACCTAACAGTGAAAGCTATTGGCATCCAGACGGTAGGGAAAGTCTGAACCACATTTAAATCCTGTTTTTCAGTTAATCATTTGTTCAAGTGGAGAAATCCTGACTTTGAGATACAAAATATTTTATTTAATGTCAGTTTTAAAAGGAGAGGGCACACAATTGTTTATTGTCTGCCTAAAAGAATTTTCATTTGAAAATAATCAGGAGAAACTTATTTGAATATTAAATACTATCTTGAATAGAATAAAATCCTTTTATATGGAGCAATTTATTATTTCTTTGAGAATATCATTCAATATAGTTTGGTCATATTCACCCCTCACTCTCCTTCCATCATTTTCCCATCTTCCAACCCCTCCTAATCTCTTGTCTTTTTCTAAAAACAAAAACAAAAACAAAAACAAAAACAACAACAAAAAACCCATGGAGTCCCTTGAGTCCCTTGTGCTGCCCATAGACTTGAAGGCGTGGCACCATCTACTGGTGGGAGTTGACCTACTGGTAGGCATAACCCCCAAAAGAAACTGACTTACCCATCCCCAGAAGCGATAAACTGCCTATATCTCCCCAGTTAGGGGCTCATGAGTCTCTCTTCTGTTTCCATGCAGGATTATGGGCTAGCTACATCTTGTGTAGGTCTTGTACTGGCATCCAAAGCTGCAGTGAATTCCAATAGACCTGCCATTTCTGGAAGACATTGTTTTGCTCTGCTCCTGACCAACCTCTGACTCTTACATTCCTTTTGTCCCTTCTTCCATGATAGTCCCCGAATAGTGGAGATAGGGATGTTACCAATGTCCTGTTTGTGGCTGAGCACAGATACTTATTCTGTGCACTTTAATCAGTTATTATTTATTCTATGTTAGCCAATATCTATTATGTAAAGAAACTTCTCTGGTAAAATCAGAAAGCCGCATTTGTAATATAGATAGATATTTGATATTGTGTCCATTTAGCAAAATAATAAATTCATTCTTGGGGCCTGTAAGCTAACCCCACCCAGTCACAGATTTCAGTACAACATGCATGTTTTACCCTACAGAGTGAGCCTTAAATCCATTCATAAAGCAGTTGGTGACCTGCATAACACCTGTGCCACCACTGCACACATGGGCTTATCTAATCAAGCCAGTTATTACACAGATTCACAGGTGTAGTGATATTTCATATGTATTTTAATAAATAAAGCTTGCCTGAAGTTCAGAGAGAAAAACAGCAGCACTGATCAGCCTTATAGATCAGGCAGTGGTGACACACACCTTTAATCCCAGTAGCCACACTAGTTTGCCATAGAAACTGGGTGATAGTGGTACACACCTTTAATCCCAGCACTAGAGATGAATATAAGATGGGAGGAGACAACTCTCACACACAGTCTCATTCTGAGATTCCTGGAGGCAGGATTGCCATTTTGGACTAAGGAAGAGGTAAGAACCAGTGGCTGGTCTTCAGGTTGAATCCCAATTTTTGTCTCTGAGTTTTTATTAATCATGCTCACACAGGATCCCAGTTGGCTGAGCATTTTGATGACTCCTGCCACCCCCAGCAGCCTGCATTACCTTCAGTACTATGAGAACTAGCCATCAGAGGGGAAGATTTCTGGCCAGTAGCAACTTGATTTTTTTCGTGTCCTATGGCCAAAGTATGTAATGTCTTTAGTGATAAGGTCTTATCATCAAGTTCTGATGATCAATCAAGATAAATATTCTGTATTGTTTAGGGTATCTTCAGATCAGTTCTCATTAACAACTCAAAGAGAAACACTCTAGATGGTAGTGAAACTAATCACAATACTTCTGATGGTATGGTTTTTATTTTTTAAAATAGATATGTGGATTTACTCTGCTTTCCTTGGTGGTACCCTTTTCAATGTATTACTACTTGCTTTCAAAGAATGTAAGCAGCCAGTTAGCAAATATTTAAGGAGATTTTTGACTTGCATACCCAACCATAAAGAAAATTATTCAGTTTTGGAAGATCCCGACTTTGAGACCTTAAGGCTAGAAACTCTCCCTCAAGAAAACACAAGAAAAAAATCAACTCTAAGAAGAATCTTCTGTTTTTACCCAATATTCAGATTATTAAGTATCCTCTTCTTATCAATATTAGGGTTTTCATGCTGTTTGATTAAATGATATTTGTTTATAACTGACAGAATTTTAATGTTAAAAATATTTCTTTCCCAGGCGATGTTTTATGAAACTCAAAGCTGAGCTCAGCTAGCTCAAGGATTAATAAGCATCATGCCCTCAATTGAAAGCCCTGCAGGGTCCCAGAATATCCCTCTCTATGTGTGCCACCCTTATTTTCAGTGGTCAGATTGGATATTCATTTCTAGAATTAGTGCTATGCTAGAAGCAATGGGCTTTGAAGGTCATGCTAATGGGGAGAATGAGCCTTCCATCTATGGTCAATAGGGCTGACCAATTAGCCAGGATGCTAACTGACCTTAACCAAGGTAACAGCATTGCTAGGTTTGATGGCATAGGCTTTTAGTCCTGGCTACTGAGAGGCTGAATCAGGAGACTGACAAACTCAAAACCTCCTTGAGATTAGTCTGGGCCCTTCAGTGAGAACCTGTTTTATAATAAAAAGTAAAAAGGGAACTGGGGTTTTGACTCAATAATGAAGTATTTATGTGCTATGCTGGAGGCCTTAGGTTCAATCACCAATACCCACTGAAAATAGAAAAAGATAAAAAATACTAAGCATATTGGAGTATTAGTTGAGGTAAAAGACATAGCATGCATGTATTCTAAACTATACTGTGGACTCTATATAGGCAGGAACATGGCTCACAGCTACATCCACACCATGTGAGTTCTTTCTTGTATAGCAAAAGCACTCAAAAATTGCTAAAATTGTATTTGATACCCTTAAATCAAGTTTTGCTTGAGGGAGCTACTTATCTATAGTGAGGCTGCTGGGATGTGGCATTGGGTGAATAAACTGCTTCTCTCCTATTATTTAATTTTTTAAAAGAAATTAATTCAAAACTGCACCTTAATCATGTATTCAAATCAACACATTGATTACTGGATACTCAAAGGACTTTTCCCCATAAAATTGGTTAAATATTACATATATATATATATACAGATATATATATATATGAATGACAGGGTTATTTTTAAAAATTTACCATCTAGAAGACAATCCTTAACCCCCCAAATAAACTGAATGCTGGAAAAAATATTCTGAGCTTACTTCCAATAACTCAATATATTTTAAACATTAATATGATACTTTATTGATGAAAATATTGATTATTGTCAAGGTATATAGTTGCAAGAATATTTATATGGTCCTTTAATTTAAGTAAATAAATAGACTCATAAGGAGGTGTAGGTAGGTTTGAAATAAATATCGAGTGTTTATTAGCTGAACTATTTTAAAGACTCAAGTTTTAAATACCAAATGCAGAAAACAGAAAATGTCATTTTGCTGCAGAGACTATATCTTGGTTGAAAACTCATGTTTGCTCTAAGATTTGTCTAAAATGTGAGAAGATGGATGTTTGGAGAGAGAGAGGCCATATGACTTCCAGCTCCTCTGAAGACGCGATCCGGTAGATGACAATCTTTCCCTCTCTGATGTGTTCCCTTGCTTCCATTCTTGCCGCAGAGCGGGCTCACGTCCTTACACCTTGCAGCACAAGAAGACAAAGTGAACGTCGCTGACATTCTCACCAAACACGGGGCTGACCAGGATGCCTGCACAAAGGTACAGCACATCTTTTGTCACTGTTGTCCCCAGTCCTGGTTTGGCTGACTCTTGGTTGGCCTCATTCAGGTCAACTCATGCCCGGGATCCCTCTTCTTAAAAGTTCATACCAAAGTATAAGCATTGCGCTTCCCTGTGTCCGCTAGGATCAGATTGGAGTTGAGAAGATGACCTCAGGGCTCAGCCTAAGATTCCAGTCCTGCAGGTTGTTGCCCATCTCTCACTTTGGCTTTAACTCCTGCATCTGCCTCAGTGTTTTGCCTCTGTCCTTCTTCTGCTTCGTGCCCTTGAACTTGAGGAGGATTGATTCTCTCTGAGCTATTTTTTCTTTCCCCTTCGTTTTGTTATTGTTTTAGGACCACTTATTGGTTATATAATGAGTTGTCATAATTTTCACTCCTCCCTATCTTACCCTCCCTTCTCCATCAGCACCCTTCTCCTCCACATGGCCCCTGCTGGCTCTCCTGTCTTCTTTTGGTGTGAGGGCTGGTGAGTTTAATTAGACTAACTTCTCTGAGCATAGGTGGGAAGTTATTCCATGGTGCAAGGGCAGCTTATTTATAGCTACACTTCTGAAGACAGTGACATTGCTCCCCGAACAAGTGTTGATTGCTGATAGCCCTTCTGGGTGGGATGAGGCCTCAGGGGCTCCCTTTCTCATTCATAATAAAATATTAATGGGTTCAATATTGTGTAAGTTTTATGCAAATACGACAACCTCAGTGAGTTTGAGTGCTATGAATACATCATGACAGAAGACGTCTCTTTGTTGTACATCTTCCCATTCTTCCCACCACCTTTTGCTCCCCTCCACCTGCTTCTTCTACTAGAGTCTTCTTTCTCCCATTGACATAGCCTATCATTTTGTGCTTGTCAGTTCTTTTCACTAAGTTAAATTACCTGTGTGTCTTATCTCCCTTGCTGCTATAAAGTTCTGTATGGTTAAGGGCTGCTCAACCTGTATTTGCACCCAAAGGATACCACGTGCAATAATTGGAACATTGCTTTGTTGATTAACTACCAGAAGTATAACACTTGTACTTTGGGATTCGTCATTGCAGCTTGGTTACACCCCATTAATCGTGGCTTGTCACTATGGAAACGTGAAAATGGTCAACTTCCTTCTGAAGCAGGGAGCAAATGTCAATGCAAAAACCAAGGTAAAATATAGATTCATTTTCCTTCTCGGCAATTAAACTCATCCTGTCAAGGGTACAATAAGGACACTCGACAATAGCCACAAGTTGCTTTTTGATTCAAATTTAATTTTGGTTTTTATTTCTCACAGTCATTTTTGAAGAGGCATTGCAGTTTTCTGCCTGCTTAGGGCTTTTCTTTCTGATAGCATTTGATGGCCATGGAGGTCAGCTTCAGAAATGCTTGTGTTATAAAGTGAAAACAGCTTTGGCTTAACAATTTGCTGCTGGATACAGCTGATCCTCCGAGGTCATCCCGAAGCCCTGCCAGACTTCCTATTGTGTTTCAGGCCCTTGGCCCTGTCCCCTACCTCCACATTTCCTCCTGTGGAAATACAGACCTGTACAGCTCCCACAACATGGATCCCATTTTAAACAAACTAATTCTTTGGGAATGTCATGCTTTAAATGCTTAGTGACAAAAGTGTGACATGCCTGGGTTGTAGGCTCTCAGGGATTACCTAGGGATATCATGTCCCTAACAGTTCTACACAATGTAGGTCAAAGGTCCAACTGGACAAAGCAAGTCAGAACATCACCACACATCTCGGTGCGTACAGATTGGTCCACGTCCAAGAGAAAAGCATGGCGTAACTCCTGCTCTTGGTGGATGGTATAACTCTGTGACTCACTGCCACAAAGAAATGTGAGCTTGGTGTGTTTGAGTTCACCCATTGGGAAGACCCGCCACAGCTCAGGTGCACATGCAGGGGTTTTAGAGGCATCGTTTCAAGATGGTACTAATTAGAAATAAATTACTGAATGTTTTGTAAATCAGTATTTTTTTTTCTGTCCTCCTAGAAGTAGAAGCACAATCATTTTTGTGCAAAAGCATGTTTCTAAACTGATCTAACACAAACATATTTTGTAAACTATAATTAGTCCTGGGGCACTTAAGATTGAAACTTCTGAGCTTGCCGTCCGATGGCCATCGTCTCGTGTCTGACCTACATGATTCTTCAAAGCTTTCGTTGGTGTTTGCTGAAGAGCTTCCTTGCAGCTCCTCAGGCTTTCATTTCTAGCATCCTTTTTTGTTGAGCCGGCTCAGATGCACAGTCACGACAGAGGGAACCGAACAAAAGTACCATGCAATCGGACACTGGCGGTACTCGCAACGATTTGTGTGGTGGTGGTGTTTGCCCTCTGAGATGGCTTCAGCATTTAGATGCCAAGCACTATGTGGTCCTATCTGGGCGTCTGTGGAATTAGTTCTATACTAGGCAAGCATTTGATTAAGAGACAAACAAAATCCAATTTTACCATTTTAGGTGAACGATATAACTTTTACTGTGATATTTGTTGCTATATATTTCAGTGCAGTAGACAGATCCATGTCTTAAGGGGCAGTCTGTTACTAAGTTCTTGAGAATTCCTCCGCATGGAATGATACCTTTGCTGAAGGAATTTCATTCTCTTCCTGATGTTTTATGTGTAACCATAGTTACTAAAGGATTACTTGGCTGCGTTTAGAATGCAAGCATGCCCTGCCTTTACTCCATAACTGTGTATAAAACTTGGCATAAAGATTAAGAAATGTAAACTTTACAAATGAAATCATTGTTTTCTTAGACTTATAATAAAACTCTGTCATATTAGATTGAAACAAACTGAACTTAAAGGGAATTAACTTGTGAAAAGGGTTTAAACTCTCATATAAAATGAAAATTTCTTTGATCAGATACACCACAAAGATAAAAGATTGTCTTTGAGGAAATGACATAGGTCGCTGACATTTTCATTTAACTCTTATGAGCTACCCATATCTTCGTTGGAAACTTCTTTGGTCCTTCTTGGAGCATAGACTTTCAGCCATTTCTCTATTATAAGTGAGAAAAATGGAAGCATGAGGGATTTGGAGTCTTGTTCACCCTAAGTAGAAGGGGTAGATCTGAGGCTGGTGTGCCAGTGAGTTGGAGAGTCACATAAACATGGAGTCAGTGTCGAGGTAAAGTGATAGACCTGCTCCAGCTTCCAGTGAACATTCTTAGTCATCACAGCTTCAAGTAAAAGTCTGATTGAATCACACGCAGGTGTCGATTTCTAGACCATAGCGGTCTGTCACTGAGGACTCCATTTAATATGGTCTACATATGGTCTACACCATGACTAATTATATTTAGCATTATTTATGTAGGCAATCTATCCTTTAAAATATATTCATATTTATTAGTTTAATATAGGGAATGTTATTTATATAACAAAGTATTTAGCACATAGCACATGGTTAGTGAATGTTTGTTAAATAAACTAACTTGAATGATAATGAAGAAGACAGGCAAATTGATTTGGCTGAATCTTATAAATAAAATGGAAAGGAAGAATGTTTAGGAAAATAAAAACCACTTACTTTATCCTTCTCAAATGTCCATGGATTGGCTGATCTGAGAACAGAGTCTTATAATAACTGTAGGATTTTAAGAGTCTTTTTAAATAGACTGCATTTTCAGGACATTGGGTTTATTTTGTTGTGGAGATCTATAGCAGCTGTCAGACTCCTAACATGACAGTTAGGGACACCTGGGCAGGAAGACACTTATACTTGATGACATTCCCATACACAGAAAGGCCACTGTGACTGTATGGAAGGGGTTCTATGACACTCATGAATATAATCAGACATTTTGTATTGTCAAAATGACCAAATATACATGTTGTCTGCTATGACATTGCAGGAAATGTGCACATATGTGTGCACATTCTTTTAAGCATATACAAATATACCACTCAGAAATTATAGCTTAATGCAATGGACTCTGATACAGACAAATAATTATTTTTTTTTTGGCAGGAAATTACCAAGTAGTCACTGATGTTCGTGATCTTCTGCATAGAAATTGCGCCTAGAGTGATTGTGGAGGAATAGGTTAACCCTGATATTTTCAGTTTTGTTGTTTCTGAAATGGAGAGAAGAAATATTCACTTATGAACCATTTGTTCACTATTCTTTTAGTCAACTATTATTTACAAAATTCTTTTTATATACTAAGCACTGCAAGTCATTTCAGGGTGACAGTGGAGATTAGCAGGGACAGCACTCTAAGGTCCAGCACAAAATGAATGCCCAAGGAATGACTCCCGTTCCCCCATCAAAGATTCCAATAAAAATTTGGAGTTAATTTGTGCCACCCCTGCCATCTACTGCAGCTCTGCTCAAGACTGGCCTCATGCTAGTCCCAGCATCAACTCCAAGCCAGGCACTTTTATCTCCATCAAAGTTTTGATCACACTGTCAAAATTCTAGTTTTTAGACACATTTTACTGGGGCAGGGCATTGGGCTTCTAATGGAGTTTTCTCTTCAGAAGCTTACGCATGCAATCTTCTATAACCAAAGTTATCTCCTGGGTTAAGCTTGACGTTCAATTCTTTCATGGTTGTAGATCTGCTAAAGCTAACTTCGAGGGTTGCTAGCAGTTTGTGTGACCCTCAGCAGTCCTCGGTTAAACACCAAGTTACTCTTCTTCTTTCCTGAGGAAATAGATCACAGCCTTGTTGTTCTTTCCCTTTTTAAATCTTCTCTCTGTGGAATCATTTTAAATGTCAATTGGTTAGAATATAATAACAGTTATAAATTGAGTCTGTTTATCTCGTGTTTCATAATCTCGTCTCTTCTTGTTTAGTCCGCCATAAGGTGTGAGGGAGTGTTTGCTGCTGAGGCATGGGTTGCTGGGAAAATTGTGCTCCAAATAAACAATGAGGTGCCTGATGGGTGTGCTGTAAATAAGACGAGTGAACTGAATCAGAAGGCTAACGTGATTTTCTTCTTCCTCTGCGAATCGGCGCCATCATGCTCTACAGAATGGCTACACACCTCTGCACCAAGCTGCCCAACAGGGCCACACACACATCATTAATGTCCTGCTCCAGCATGGGGCCAAGCCAAATGCCACCACTGCGGTAAGGATGCCTGTGGCCCTTCCCTGGGCTTTCATCTTTCTCCTCCCTTGCCCTGCTCTGTGTCCTATTGTCAGAGATTAAGTGTGACCCATCCTCCTTAAACAAACTCCCAGGCTGTGGAAAGCCCCACATTTGGGGAAAATCCTTTCTAGTCGTCTGTGATTTCTGGGGAGTGTTTGCCGGGAAGGAAGTCAGTTGGGGCTCTGGGGAGTGGGGCCCTCCACTTGGACTGCTGGAAGGGCTTTGCTTACAGCTGGCTCTCAGATGTGAGCACATATCCGCCCCTCCCTCCCCCGTCTTCTTAACCGAGCCCAGTTTCTGAGCTGCTGGCTTCGAACGGCCTCATTGGGATGTGGAGCCATTGAAATGTAAACTAAGCGGTGTAATTAAACAAACGGGGTCCCCAGTGGCCTGGGCTGGAGGCGGCTGGAATTGCTGGCTTGTGTAGTTTCTGCAGCCCTGGAGCTCCTACGGAGCAGAAGCTAAATCTGTCACTGGGTCCCTATGGTAACATCTTACCTGCAGCAGATGGCCTGACCCTTGGTGAGCAATGAGCATACCAGGTTCTCCCTGGTAGTTTTGGCAGACACTGTCCTCAGTTCCAGGGGTGGCTTTAGAAGACCAGGGAAGCCTTTGGAGCTGCTTGACAACCTCAGGGTTAAGCATCAAGTGCTTCTTATTAAAAAGAGCCGGCAGATGCAAGCTTGTTGTGTTACCATGGTGACCTAGGCTATAGTCTAAAGAAGTTACAAAGACAGATTTAGACGTAATGGTAAAAACTAGTGATTTTCCCGAGCTTGCCTTGTTTTGGAAGGAAGTGCTGGCTCATGCCGAGCCCCGGGTGAGCTCATTGGCTTGCAAGGCAGTCCTCCCTAGCCTTCCTCACTCTTTCCCTCTTTCTCTCTCTTCAGAATGGGAACACAGCCCTGGCGATTGCTAAGCGGCTGGGCTACATCTCTGTGGTTGATACTCTGAAGGTTGTGACTGAGGAGGTCACCACCACCACCACGGTGAGTACTGATGACTGGTCTGCTCCTGTCCTCTTGGTTTTCCCGCCACATACCTTTTGCTCAGTGTTTGCAGCTTGAACTTCTTTTGTTAAAGCATGGTAGAATAGACTCAGGAATATACAGCTATAAATGTGCTTACCAATGGGTGCAGGGTTTCTGTCAGTATAATTCCAAATCAAATATATAAATATAGCTTTATAATTATAGAAAAGTGCTTTTCCCTATGAGGGTTTTTTTTTTTTTTTTTTTTTTCTGCTTCTTCTGCTTCTTTCCTCTGGTTGTGTGACACCTACTGCTGGCAGAAAGGTATCACATGCTGTCACCAACTTGAACTTGGCCTAAAGGTCAGGCAGCCTAAAGATCAGGTCAAAAGAGACCCTGGCTAGATCAAATGCACTTCTACAGACAACAAAGTCTCTTCAAATTTCTTCTTTTTCTTCTTATGTCTGATGATTTTTTTTTTAGAATAAAAGAAAAATTGCAGGTGTCCAGTGTATGCCTAAGATCCTTTATTTCCACCTCTTTAAAACACCTAATGATTCCTGAGAAGGGACCAGCGATAGTCATGGCTCTTTGCCCGAGAAAATCCCAGGAGCAGCCCCAGAGAGCGCTGCATCCTTCTCTCTGCAGAGGCTCCAGGAGGAGTTTTTAAACTTTAATTGAAGCACGAGTTCTACGAACAATAGCTTTTCAATTTCTCTTTGTAAAGTGGAGAAACAGCAAAATCTGGGATGTTCCATGGAAACAGTGACACCACAAGTCAACAAAGTATTCGGAGTAAGGCTGTGCTAAATGCTCCAAGCTAGACCCACTGCATACAGAGTTTGGGAACACTGGATTCTTTTAACGGAGGGGAGGGAAAAGAAAGGAATTTTGTTTTACAGGCTAGCGAAAAGCCCCCGTGGACAGCCATTGAGGTAGATGGAACACAGTTGATGTGACATGCAGTTTTAAGTAGAGTGGCATATGAATAATTAATGAGCTGCACAGTATCGCCTGGACTTTTGGATGGGAGGCAGCTGCTCTGCTCACTTTGCAAGCAGACCCATCTCCTTTAGCCAGCACACACGGTGGTTTTAAAGATATAGATTTGATAAATTATAAATGAGAAAAAGTCTTATCAATGTTTAACATCCTACTTACTGGTCATTATATAAGGCCATGCCTTTTTTTTTTTTTTTGTAAAATTTTCTTCTATTTAAACATTTGGAATCAGTTAGTGGGAAATGCTCAGGCGTCTGTGATTGCTTGTGATAGTATGGTGCGTGTTTCTGTTATGTGTTGCTCAAATGAGGATAGATATGTCTGTGCCCGCAAACCTTCATTTCCTTGTGGTGAGAATATTTTAAAAAAATCTTTCTGTTTGGCTGAATCTTAATTACTTTAAAAACTAACGGTTTTTCATAACAGGGAAGTCTTCATATGAAGACTTACACAGCTATTTCACCTCAGAAGGGCATGCACCTCACAAAAAACCAAAGATGTTAGTGACAAGATTGGCTGAGCATGGTGCCGTCAGAGAGAGTCTTGGGTTTTGTTAACTTCAATACTTTTTCCACGCTGGAAATAATGGATGTGTAGTTTTACCGAATGGCCACTAGATGGCAAGCTGTGGCTCTTTTCCTCTGGCCCTACTTTGCTCTCATTCAGTTTGCTAAGTAACATTTCTTCTTTAAGGAAGGAAAGCTGTGTGGGGCCTCTGTGCTATAAGCTGAAGAGCATCAGTGGTTGAAAGAGTTCTTCTGCACAAGCGTAGTGGGAGGGGAGAAAAGAGTTTTAATCCAGAGGAAAATACATTTTTTTTTTGAACATCAACAACATGGTGAAACTTATACATCTCATTAAGATTTCTGGTGCATAAATATTAGAGCAAGTGATTCCAAATGCAAAATATCTGTATTTTAAAACAGACGCAGCCAGCATTTCTTAATTTGTTTCTAACCATTCTAAGTACGAGGCTGGGGACTGACTCAGTGGCGAACACACTTGCCTCACAAGTGTGAGAACCTAAGTTTGGGCCCCAGAACCACACAATGGTCATGTACATCTGCAATTGTGGTCTTCCTGTAGACAGATAGGAGGTGGAGGCAGGAGAATTCCCAGAAGCTGGAGGGCCAAATAACATGGGCTTCATAGCAGCAAGCAGTGAGTTCCTATCTCGCAACAAGGTGGAAAGTTTGAAGTGATAATCTGAGGCTGTTCTCTAACTTTCACATGTGCAACTTGATGTGTGCAGTCACACAGGTGAAATACACACACACACACACACACACACACACACAATTATAAATATTCTCCATCCTACTGGTCCCCCTGGACTAGGTTTTCTCCGCCCCTGTTTCTGAAGTCGCTTATAAAATAACCACTCTGAGGCTTAATGTTAATTACATATTCTTTGGCCTATTAGCTCAGGCTTCTTATTAACTAACTCTTGCATCTTAAGTTAACCCATTTCTATTATTTTATATTTTATCACAAGGCTTGTGGTTGGTTTGTTACCTCATATGTTGCTTCTTGGGGGAGCTACATAACGTCCAATATGGGGCCCCATCCTCCTTATGGAGACTTCAAAGGTCGCTGTTAGGCAGGCTCATAATTCACTGCAAAAAAACTGATACTCAAACCTGAAGTCATGTATAGGAAGGTACATGAGACAGATATTTTTGATTTCACTTTAATAAACATGCCGGGGTTTAGATAAGGAGAGAGCACAACTCCAACTCCAAAGATATACACACATGCTATTTTTTTAAAAAAAAATCATATTTACCATTTCTAAGTAAGCAGGCAGATGGCTTGTCGGAAACCAGATATACAGGGAGGATATGAAAAGTCTTCTCTATGACAGTTAACTCTAACACAAAGCAACTATTTTTAGAACATTTTTTGAGTTTTTGCTTTTGAATTATTTATATTTCATTATATTTTCACTACTATATTATTTATGTTCATTTTAAAGCTGAGCATTATTTGAAAAAAAAACTCACCATATTTGAAATTCAAATTTCTAGGTGAAAAACCCAATAAGCCATAAATAACACATAGACTGTCAGATTTCAGCTTCAGTGTGTCATTCAAACTAAATAAACCACCATTCCCACCAATCCCCTTTATCTGGAGGGAGGGTGATATTAGTGCTGGGCTGTTGTTTTATTTGTTGTTCGCTTGCATGTATGTCTATGCCGGGTGCTCACAGAGGGCATCAGATCCCCTGGAACTGGAGTTACAGACAGTTGTTGGCCATTATGTGGATGCTGGGAATTGAACCTGTATCCCCTGGAAGAGCAGTCAGTGCTCTTAACTACTGAGCCATCTCTCTATCTCAATGGCTACATGATTTGATTCTGCTTTATGCTTATTTTCCGGTTCTCCTAATTGGCTCCTGATAGAAATATGAGTTTGTTTTGAGATCTGAAATTTGTAGCTAAAAAGTACCTATGCATTCTCTTCTATTGTGGAAGTCTTTGGGCAGTATACCTCTCTTTGGAAAATGATGCTCAGTCACTCTGTTTCCTATAGGGTACTATTTGTGGTATCTCAAATAGCTAATATGTAAGATTAGTATTGTGCTAGCTTCGGAGGAAACATCTGGAATTCAGTTCAGGATTCTGGATTGCAAAGCCCTCTTTCCTAACCATACCCATCTAATTAATCTTGGTTTTGCTGAAAAGTAGCTTAACCAGAATTCTGTGAAAAAACTATTCCTGCCTAGTTTTCCGGAAAAAAAAAAACACACAAGAAGTATACTTCACGGATTTCAATGAGTACGTCTTATTTAATGTCATTTTCTAAAGTTTACTGACTAGCCAAAATAAAAACAAACAAAACCCAGCACCACAGTGACAGCCAGCAGTGCAAGGCATTTTATAATGAGGCGAAGGGGATCAAATTTCACGCGATGAGGTTAGATGCATCCTTTGGATGCGGTCATTGAATTGTAGCTACACAAGTGATGGGCTCGTTTACCACCCATTGCATTTCTGGGGTGTGCCGCTTGTGCAGCCATGTGAGGTCTCTTGAAAAGAAACGTCTTCCCCAAGTCCTCTACCCCAAAGCATGAATGAAGGCAGTGTGAGAGAGCCGATCGAGGCAGTGGATGGGAAGGGAGAGGCTGGGGCGGCCGAGATCGCCCAGACACTGTGGACTTGTGGCTTGTTTCATTAACCGTGCCATTTCTAAATTGACACTGAGAGACGCAGCAGGGGAGGTGAGACGTTTCAGCATTGTCTTAGGATGAAGTCTCTGTGTTTGCCAGAAGGGTCATCACAGAACTGGGGGCATATTCCCAACAGCAATAGCTAAGAGCCCTAGTCTACTAAGATTAGAAAACTCTGAAAAATGACTCGTTCCTCCACCTGTCAATCTGCTATCATCAGCTATTGTTTTTATTATTGGTGTAATTTTAAAGTAATGCATTATATGGCAAAGAGTCGTTGCTAAAAGGAACAAAATTATCTAATAAATTACCCAAAATTACCACTTGTAAGTCATATTAGATATATTATCCTTTGCTCATTAGGAAGGTTTTTTTTTAAAGTAATAAAGAAAATGTAATTCTAAGTCCAAAATTTGTTTTGATGCCATGTTTGTTAAAGGAATCATCGAAATGAAAATTCAATGCATACAGATAATGTCCTTTGACACTGTCTGATCATCATTTTTTCTGTGACTATAGTTCCAGGATCAAATGTCTGAATTGTCATCTTTTGCACAAACACTATCAATAGTCACTCTGTGTGTATGAGCTTTATAACACCTAGTTAACACTTCCTGAGGCTGAAGAGATGCCCTGGTGGTTAGCACTTGCTATCCACATGGCAGTTCATAGCTGCCTATTGCCCCAATTCCAGCGGATCCAAAACCCTCTTCTTGCCTACATAGGGTCCTGACATGCAATGTAAGTACATATATGAAGGCAAATATTCATGCATATTCTAAACAAATGTTTTTCAAACGTTTTATATAACACTTATGCAGTCTTTGTGTGTTCTTGAACCCTTAATTTGTCTGATATATTTTTCAAATCATTTATAATTGTCTCACCCACACCTAATTTGGTGGGACACATCTTTGTTGAAACTTCCTAGAGTACTTACCTTTATCTTTCTAGAAAAATGAAAACAATTATGCATTTAATAGTTTGCCTAGTTACAGCAGTTATATTGACAAATATGGTTGGCATTAACAAAACAAAGGTAGCCTACAAGTGCCCTGATGACAGCCACAGGGTGTAGGTGTTGAAAGGTGATATGGTGGCTGAGATCATTGTCTATGCTGTGATGGCTTGGGAGGTCTGTGAATAAAAGGTGTGACTGGGTAGGGGGTGTTGGCCAAGTGGGGTCAGTTAGCATATAGTTTCCTCCCACACAGGGAAAACCAGATATTATCCACTCATTATAAAACATCATAAGAGCTTATATTTAATTTTCTATGTGTTCCCATATCATGATGAATCACTCATCATCTGACTTAATTATATCTCATTAATCTTGTGCATAACATATTCTTTATTTTAACTTTTAAGGTTGTTTCAGATCTTGGCCATGACATCTTAGACTCTGTAGCAAAAGCAGAAGTACATGAGCATTGAATTATAGCTTTGTTCTCCATCTATTGTGCAAATGCAGTTGTTTAAACAAACTATGTTTCAGTAACCAAGTATCTTAAGGATATTTCATTTTAAAAGAAAATTGTATATTATATCTAATTATATACCTCATGTGCAGAAAGATCTGTTTGGGATACATTCAACAAACATTTACTGATGCCCTGTGAAGATTGGACAAACATCAGATTCAAATACAACTACACATTGCATTGTACATTGAGGGTATTGTGAGTATTATTCAGGAAAACGTCTGTGAGCAACATGATTATTGTATGCTTCTGTTTATCCTGCTACATACATTTTCTAATATAACAGATAGCACTTAATCCCAAACAAAGCAGCCTGGCTATTCATTCTGATAAGGAAAAGGAACGTATACTCACACTACCAGCATGTGGCAACGGACCACGGGCTGCCACACAGTCATTTACTTACTAATGGAAAGACTTCTTTTTGTAGAAATTACTCTAGAACATTCTCATATGAAATGAACTTCCTGAGTAGTCTAACACAATAGACAGAGTCACATTAGTAAATTGTTGTATTTACATTTAGATATTAAATTGTTGTATTTACATTTAGATTCAAACAGAATGTTTCAAGAAAGTTTAACAAAATATGCCTGTTGTATGACTGTCTCCCTAAGGCTAAAATATGAGCCTCAAATTGAGTTTTATAATATAACAAAATGGAACATCTGTCCTAGAGATCAGATCTCAATATGTAGCTCGAGAACTCACTAAGCCAGGCTGACTTCAAACTAAATGGACTTTTATAAAAAATACTGTTAAAATACCCCAACATGCAGACTTACTATTCTTGCTGAGACACAAGTAGCAGTGTGTGTGTGTGTGTGTGTGTGTGTGTGTGTGTGTGTGTGTGTGTGTACACTTAAGGCCAGAGGTCCATGTATCCTGTGTCTTCCCCAATCACTGTCAGTCTTAGGCTTTCAGGCAAAATCTCACTGAAACTGGAGCTCATTCATTTAGCGAGTCAGAATGGCCAGTGAGCTCTAGGTGTCTCCCTGTTTTCCCCAGCGCTAGTGTGACAATTCTGAGCCCTGGCACCTGGCCACCATGTGCCAGGGATGTGAATTCAGACCCTTATGTGTCTGTAGCAGGCATTTTACCATCTGAGCCATGTTTTCAGCTCAGAGCATTGATAAGTTAAAATATTTTTAGTGATTCTAATTTACTGCTAGAGTTGAATTCTATAATATTTAGATTATAATTTAACTGAGTTAAATTTATAACTCAAGTTTGAAATATCGAAATAATAATAAAATAGTGTCTTATGAAAGCCCTTTAAATTTGTTCATTTCACAAATGTTTATATGCTGTCTAGTCTGTGGGAGATCATTGGGCCTTTGCTTTATCTTTACTGCAGTGTTTAGCTTGTTCTCATTGAGTCAAAACCAGTTGGCTTACATAAATATCCCAAGAAACGTAGGCATGTTGCATTTATTAATGTGGGCTTCAATTGTACCCTCACCTACACACCACAAGGTTCTCTAGCATTGTGCTTTCTGCCTTGTCTTGAAACAAAGATTCCACTCAAAAGAAAATCTATTTTGTCACTTGGTGAATTTTAAGTATATGTTAGCATAATTTTACAGCATCATAATTTTATATCATTTCATATATATGAGAGAGGCATCTACTCTGTTTCAGGTTCTATGGTAACACTCTACCTCTGGAATGACCCCCACTCTTCTGTGGGAGGTAGACAAATAGATGAGCCATACACAGTTGTGTGTGATATATGTAGCAGAGTTAAATAAATAAAGTTATTGGTAGAACATCAGGAAGTATTTCTCTGTGGTAATCACATCTGATAGTCCAAGCAAAAGGTTTTGCTAGAGAAAGGAATATGTTAAAAAAAATTCTCAACAGCACAAGAGGAAGGACCCATGTGACAATGAAGCAAACCATCCAGCATGGGGTTAGCAGCCACCTGGCTGTGAGGCCTTCTTACCTGTCTCTGCCTGCGTCCTCACAATAGGTCTTCTGAGTCATTTGACTTAATTTTGTTCTGAAAACAAACAAGGCAAGTCCACTGAGAAGCAATTGGTGAAAGACATGCATTAGCGCCTTACGATTGACTCAGTTCAGTTGCTCTTAGCGCAAATCTATTATATCCATTCATAGCTACTTGGTATGACGATCTGTGGAAGGGTCTCTGCTGTTGGGAAAGAGCCTGTGTAGAGTCATTGTACTGATTGAAACAAGTCTCTGTTATCTGTAAAGCAGAGCGTGGAAGTCTACCCAACCTCCTCATGGCGCTTTGGTGTTTTAGTTGAAGATTTACCGCTTATGTCAAGAGTTCAGTCTTTTAAGGTTCTCATCATTGCCAACTAGTACATGAATAAATGTAAAGTACACTTTAAATGTAAGAATTATAGTTATAAATTTGAGACTTGATGGGATTTAGGTAATATTTAAAGCTGTGAGGTTTCTTTTTTGTACATGTGCCTCATTTTTAAAAGTGATACAATGCTACATGTTTATGACGGACAGCATGAAGATTTGAGATATATGTACATTGTGAAAATAGCTAAACGAACTAGTTAGTTCATACACTTATCATTGTGGGTGGCTATGATGAGAAAAGCTATGATGAGAAAAGCTAAATTCACCTAAAAATTTTTCAAGTATATTGGGAATAAGGATGTAGCTCAGTTAATACAGTGCTTTCTTAGCGGTCCTGGGGCCCCAGTTCCTCTTATACAAGCTACGGTGGCACACACCTGGAATCCAGGTACTTGGGAGAGGAAGACAGAAGGGCTGGAAGTCCAGGGCTGTCCTTACACATAGCAGATTTATGAGCTGGAGTTTGAGGCCTGCCTCGGGTACATGATAGCGTCTCAGGAAAATAATGGAGAAAAGAAATTTTCAAGTATACAATACACTAAAGTATTATATGATCCTCATGGTACCATGCGTTTCTTGCACTTCTTCCCTACTTGACTGACATTTGCTATCCTTTGAGAACCAGCCCACATCCCCCTTGCCTGGGTTCAGCCACTGCTTCCCAGGAGTCTACTGTCTGTTTCTAGGATTTGGACTTTTCAACAATTTCGCAGATTAGTGAAGTCCTATGATATGTGTCTCTCTGTGTCTGGCTTTTTTTTTTCATTTTGGAAATCACTATGGCATGTTTGGAGTATAATTATCATCCCATTCCATGCTACATACGTGACTAAAATGTTCTGAGCCCCTTCATGCCTAGGATGAATGTAATTTTCAGTTACAGCCATCAGTTACTCCAGCTGATGCTCACTGAGTGCACAGTCCGAGGACTGTTCTCTAGGAGCTCCTGCCCTGATACTCATAACAGCTTATAAAACATTGCTCTCCGGCTTCCCAACAATGAAACTGAGGCATGGCTGAGTTCAAGGACGTGCAGAGGCCTTACAGCTAAGATGAGTCTGGAAGTGGAAGCCATGCAGCCAAATGCGCCCACTCTCTCAGCCTTTTATCCTCTATCAGGAATGAAATCATTGGATTTGGCCACTTAGGGGAGCACCAGAGAAGGCCCATGAGCAATAAACCATAACTGCAGTCTGAATACTATAGAGATGACTAATTCTCTACCGCTGGTCCTCTAACCCCTGACAACACGTGCCACATATAATTTATGTGCTCTCCACTTTTTGCAGCATCTCTGTGACAGCTTTGCTTTTAATCCATTGCATGCTTATTACTTCATTGTAAAGTTTTGCTGGAAACAGCTAGAGACGTCTTGAAGACATTAGTTTGCCTTTTCAATAAGACTAATTACTAACGCCATTACCAAAGACTGCATTTTTCATCTGGGAACTAACAGTAATGGATCTTCTCTCGGACAATGTTCCTGGAGCCATTGGTCATTTGTCTTCAGAAAGGACAAAAGAATTTTCGCGAAAGTGAGATTCCAAAACATCCACATGGATAAGATGGGATGCTTGGGGTCTGATGGTTTGCTGCTGCTGTAGAGTATGGCACCTCTGTGACGCCGTTCATGTTTTGTCGGATTTTATTTTTAACTTTGCACTGAATGATTTTTGTCTTTTCAGACTATCACAGAAAAACACAAGCTGAATGTTCCCGAGACAATGACGGAGGTTCTTGATGTTTCTGATGAAGAGGGTAAGTCTTTGGTGACAGCTCCTAGTTCCACACAAGGAAAGGAAAGTTTTATTTGAGACAAAGGTGGTAGTATAGATTAGAGCATCCTAGTATTTAAAATTCAGTCACCAACTATAGTCTACTGTATTTACTCTTGACATTGAGGAAGTAGGCAAGTCAGGTCTACCTACTTTTTCCCATTGTTATTTTTAATCTCTAATACCTAGTAAGACTAGGGAATGAGAAAGAAATTTCGAATCATTCATGTACTAAAAGAGCTGTCTGATATAATAGTTATTACTAATACATATACTAATTATGCCAACATATTTCATATTCAAATGTCTTGAAAGACCTTAAAACATTTTTCATTCGTGGTATATTAAAAAATCTCTGCTGTCTGAAGATGTTCAGATATCCAGAATATATATATATCAAACCCAGAAGAAAAGAACCTTAGAAAAGGCATAAAACGACCTCAGCACAAAATAGTGCAGTCCCAACATGAGTAAGTCATTCTTTATGCCAGGAAAGATTTTTACTTTCATGATGGTTTTAGAATTGATAAAAATTGTCTAGTCCAGTGGTCCTCAGTCTTCCTAATGCTGTGACCCTTCAGTACAGTCCTTTATGCTGTGGTGACCCCCAATCATAAAATTTTTTCATTGCTACTTCCTAACTGTGATTTTGCTACTGTTATGAATTTTAATGTAAATATGTGATATACAGGATGTCTGATATGTGATTGCCAAAGGACTTGCAACTCACAGGTTGAGAACTGTTGATCTAGACAGTGAACTTCAGAGTCCTGAAAAGGACTGTTTCTCTAAAACGCGCTAGGGACTAACGGGGGTAGAGGTCAGAAGCCAACCTTGACACAGAGAGATTCTTTATTTACTTCACCGATGACTTCTTTGTCCCATAGTTTTAATTTCCCTGTATTATTTCTCCTAAATAATAAAAAAGAACCTACTATAGATCACAGAAATGCCCCATAGAGTATACAAGCTTCACTAGCAGAACCAGCATATGAGATTTAAAAACCTATTGCCATGTATACAATGTACATGGAACATTCATCCTTGCCTTTGCAAAATCATTGCCACAAAGTCAGTGCTAGGTCTGGTAGTAAAAGACTCTATAAAAAATATTAAATATGTTTCTAGGTTCTTTGACATGAAATCTCAAGGCCAAGCTTTATATTCTTAAGTCTTACTTGGAACCAGCTTGTTTTGTTATTGGCACTAGGCGCTGAGCTGTGTCAGTTCGCATAGGAATTGTGACAAGAATGAACAAATGTTGGATCAATGTATGATGATGAGTAATTTTAAGAGTCCTGCCAAAGGCTGTAATTCTGAGTATTTATTATAAGTCTGAGCTCTGTTCTAGTATCGGCCAGCTGAGTTCGAGCACTTGTATATACATGCCATATTTCGGGGGATTTTCTTTCTCATTCTCATTCATATGTCATGCAGCTCTTAAGCAGTTTGGTGACCACTTTATTGATGGGGAAACGCTTAGTGATTCAGGTACCATTCAAGGGACTCAGAGTGATTGCCTTTCTTTGCTTTTAATTTTTCTTAACTACCTAGAAGCAACCTGTTAATTCTTAAATCTTTGCGCTGGATACTAATGTTTCTTTTGAAACAGCTTGTATAGTGCGGGTAGAATTGTGCATGTGTGCAGTGAACGTGTGCGTTTTATTATTGTGTAAGTTTAAGGCCATGTTTGCTTATTCTGGTAATAGTTTAGCAACTATAGGGAGGCCAACTGAACAAAATTACCCTATCTGAGGTACATTATAAGAATGTTTCCCCAGAGGTATATCTTTAGTGTTTAGGATTGAAATGTTCAGGAAAAGCAATTCTTTGGTAAGTTAATACAAAAGTAAGCATGACATATTGGTAGCTAGTTTATTAGTTACTATATGCATTTTCAGCTAAGGTTGCTTGAGGTGAATGCTCATATTACTCCTTTTATATGAGGCAAAAATATAAAAAAATGAGAAGCCAAGTATGGTTACACATATCTATAGTCATGATTACTCAGGAGGCACAGGCTAGATGATAACTTGAGAACAGACATTCAAGTCAGCCTGCCCAGGTATAGTGGCACACACCTTTAATCCCCTCATCCAGGTGACAGAGGCAGTGAGGTTAAGGTCAGTCAGAGCTATGCTATGTAGAGAAAAATCTCTCTGTAAAAGGAATGGCGGGCTGCTTCCCACTGCCCGCCTGGCTAGCTTTATCCGAAATAATTACACGGAAACTGTATTATTTTAAACACTGCCTGGCCCATTAGTTTCAACCTCTTATTGGCTAATTCTCGCATCTTGCTTTAACCCATATTTAGTAATCTGTGTAGCACCACGAGGTGGTGGCTTACCGGGAAAGATCCTAACCTGCGTCTGTCTTGGAGAGGAGAATCATGGTGAATGCCTCTCTGCCTTCTTCCTCCCAGCATTCTGTTCTGTTTACTCCACCTACCTAATTTTCTGTCCTATCAAAGGGCCAAGGCAGTTTCTTTATTAACCAATGAAAGTAACACATAGACAGATGACCCTCCTCCATCATCTCTCTTTAAAAAAAAAAAGCCAGTCTTAGCAATGCAGTGGGACCCTTTTAAAATATATATATATATATATATATATATATATATCTCACATTATGACTCTTAATTATATATATATAGTTTAAAAGTCAGTCAAGAGTAGAGGTAAGTCAACATGATTAAAAACGATCTCTAACTATCATCCAGAAAGGAGAGGGCTAGGGATAAGGAGATTGCCCAGTCTTTAAGGACATTTGCTCTCTTAACAAAGGACCCAAGTGTTCCCAGCATTCATGTCAAGAGGCTTACAACCACCTGTAACTCAAGCTCCAGTGGATTTTTTTTCTTTTTTCTGGTCTCTGGGGACAACTGTACACACTTGCACACACATACACCACCCTCGCCCCCCAACACATAAAAACAAAATAAATATTTTTAAAAGTCATTCAGTGTAAATTTGGCATTTGAAGAAAAAATGAATGATGTAAAATGTTCTATGTGATATGCAGTTTCCAGAGATGATGCGGTATTTCTTCATAGTAAGCTTATTACATGAAAACCCAGTGTATAAATTAGATACATTTGATTTCAAAACAGATCACTATTTTAAAAGTAGTTGTTAAAGAACTTATTACCTAATACAATTAAAGTGTTTACTGTGGAATTGCTAGAAACTTCATTTGTAAGACTCTCATGTCTGCCCGGTATAGAAAATGAGAGGTAGATACATAATTTTTTGAATCAAACTGTTAAACAGTGAAATTTCATAGTGATTAAAAACTCCTGTGAGAGGAATAATGATTAGTGAGCAAGAACATCTTGTGATAAGAAAAAATGTTTTATTTTTAGAAATAATAAAAAAGTAACAGCATTTTATTGCCAGCAGAGAATTAAAATCTAATAATTTTTATATAAATAATGTATTTGAGTGGTGCAAAGTTGCTTTTTATGCAAAAGGTCAGGGTGGCGTTAGTTAACCTCCACTGCCAACTCCAACATTGTGTGCAGTTGAATGTTTTCATGAACCTACTATCATCCACATGGATGTAGTGCAGCCATGTATGTTCAGAAGGTGTTAGCCAATCCCCGTTCTCTCCAGCATCTACTGGTGGCAATAAATACCTAAGGGTATTTTTAAGATGAGTTTAGATGCCTGCTCAGACTAATGGACATGTGGTTAACCAGTTGGTATTATCCTCCCACGCAGCAAAAGCATCGCTGGTGAATGTGATATTATGATAGGGGAGCTCTATAGTTCACATCATGGGGGGAATCAAAGGTGAGCACAGGGCCAGCCTTCAGCAAGCACAAATGGGGAGTAATGCTTGAAGAGCTATAAACAAAGGCACAGTGCCGTCAGTGCCAGTTCTTATATCTGCTCAGGGAGCTCTACAGATGGGGCCACCCACACAATCTGCTGCGTTTGCCAAGAAATGAGAGATTAACCAGAGGGTGGCCCAAGTTGTAAAGGGGTAGATAAAAATCAGTATGGGGGTCTCAATGTCGGAATGTGCAGCAGAGTGACAATGAGTGGCCAAATGATTCAGTCACACACCCCGTTGCATAACACCTGGTTATGAGGATAGTTGTGGTGGGGAGACTCTGAATTCTTAGCTGAGTCTAGAGAAATTAGAATATCATAAAGATTTCAATTAATGATGAATAGAAATTCTGATTTTATGAATATCAACCCAATAGTAGTCCATAGAAAGGATGCTTTATTGGAAACAGGAAGAAGTCACGTATCTGAGGCCAGAGAAATCCTTTACTGAGTGTGGTGGCAAGTACGAACGAATTATCCTTGAGATTTGACATCAATTAGTGAACAGCTCATGCACACTTCTCCACAAGTTCCCTGTATCAACATGATCCAGCAAACAAGAGAACTTCAAAACGGCAGAAGTTTTGAAGGGGCTGAGCAGACAAATGGGGAAACCAGTTTCAGATTTTGCATGCTCACTTTGTGAGATATAGCCTCCTCCTCATTTCACTTTTCCCCGTATTTCAGTAGGAAGGGCAAGGGCAGGGGCTCAATGACATTTCGGGGAGTCTCTTTATCTGAACATCACAGAGGATATCAAAATGGCAACCCATACCATTTAGTTTATTCCTGTGTTTTTGATATCTGTGTTCAACAGAGTCTTGGCATGGTTGATGTGCCAGTCATCCTCATATAGAGTCTTGTAGTTTCCAAATAACCAAAATCAATCTTACTTTAAAACACTGCAGTATGGGCCTGGTTGTGGTGGCACATGCCTTTAATTCCAGCACTCAGGAGGCAGAGGCAGGTGGATCTCCATGAGTTTGAGGTCAGCCTGGTCTACAAAGCAAGTTCCAGGACAGCCAGGGTTGCATAGAGAAAACTTGTCTCAAAACAACAACAACCCCACCCCAAAAAACTCAAAAGAAAGATAAACAGAAACAAAATGAAATAAAACAGAAAAGAAATAAAATCCCCAAAAGCATAAAAAAAAACAAACTGCAGTATGCTGATACCTTACAATTAGTGGGAAAGAGTTTCCCAAAATGTGTCTGGAAAAACTGCAGAATATAACAAAAAAAGTGAACTCATTAATCCAAGAGTCATCATTTTCTAAAATGAACACATCTGTAATTTAGGAAGACATTGTTCCAAGTGCAGGAAACAGCAAGGAAACTCACGTTAAGTTTGTTACATGATGCAGGAATATAGTTGTCTTTGATCCTTCCATATCAGATATGTTAATAAAAGAGAGTATATCAGTGTGCAATTATTCCGTAGTCGCTATGTTATGCAGAATAGACCTTCTGGGGCTGGAATGATGGCTCCGTTATTAAGAGCACTTAACCATTCACAGAGGACCTGGCTTCTGTTCCCAGTACCCACACAGTGTCTCACAAACATTCATAAACCCAGTTTCAGCGGATCAGCAGGCACACATGTACACATACATGCATGCAGGCAAGACGTTCATATCCATAAAATAAGTAAATAAAAAAAATCGTAACAAAAGACACTCATCCCTCCCAACCCCCTGACTAAAAGCATGGAGGTAGCTGTACTGCTGGCATTAGAGTTTGTCGAGAAACGTGCTGATCGGGGATGACGTAGACAAAGAAGATGCATTCTGTTTTATCCCAGGCTAAATGTAAGGTGCTTACAGGAAATCCAGGTGTAGAATTCGTAGAGGAGATTGAAATACAGATGTGAAGTTTGACAAGGATCTGAGAGGGATCCAGTTGTGATCGATCACATTATATACAATATATGAAGTCCTTGAATTTTTAATGATGCATGGTAAACGGGACATAACAGAGATCATGTAGGACTAGCACTTCAGACAAGGGAGCCTGAGAAGAAATACTCAGAGCAATAGGAAAAAGTCCTGAAGAGATTTCTGTCAGAGATACCATTGAAGACCATTTTTCCAAGAAGTTACCTCTTGGAAACTGTTTAATTACTAAAATTAATTAACAATAGCAGGCATCTATTTGATTAGTTGGATTACAAAAGGAAGAGGAGACCGAGTATGATGTAGAAAAGGGCTAACACTTGCTAAAGAAAAGTTAGTGCTTTACTACAGGTGGGGAGAGACCTGCACGGGATTGTGGCTGAGGAGGGCGATATGAATAAGAATCTAGACCAGGTTTTCAGGAAGATGGGAGCCCCAAGGCTCTAGAAATGGAGGTAGATAAGCATTAACCCTAATCTGTGTAGTAGAGACTTAAGTCAAGTTCAGTAGTATTGGATCCTTGGGTTGGGGTAAGGGAAGAGGGGCAAGAGGAAGATGCAAGCCAACTTTTGAGAATTTGGTGATGTTTGGCTTCTTATTCAAGGGATATGTAAGACACAGCTTTTGTTGTGTGATGGATCTTGCATCTCACACATGAAAATAGGTCACAGACTGCCTTCCCAATGCTAATACAACTCTCTAACATAAGATTAGTTTTATGCTCAAGTTAGAGCATGCCCAGATTTTAGTAGTCCCGTTCTTAGAATTTATTTCTACTTCAGGGCTCTTTTGCTGTTGTGTATATTTAATCTTATAAAATACTATTATCATATTTGCAACCAGCAATATGGTTTAGCCGGTAACCTGATTGCTGCTAAGCCTGACGAACTCAATGAATCCCGGGTCCCATACAGTGGAAGGAGAGACCACATTCCTCTGACCTCTTTCACATGTGTTGTGCATACACACAAAACAGAGGTCCACACACAGAGAAGCAAATACACTCACAAAACACAACAGCACACACATATAAAATAAATAACTAAATTTAGAATCTCTCATTTATTATAGAACAATAGATACTTCTGAGCATATTGCCAATGGCATTAAGAGTCTGTTAATACTGGATCATACCCAGAATTACTGAAGCTGCTGCGAGAATTCTAGTAGTCGGCACACTAGGCTAACCTTTAAGTTAAACTAGCCGTTGTGACAACAAACATCATGAACAAAGTTCATTGAGAGGTATTCAAAGAATTATAATCGGAGAGTTAGTTTTTCTTGGTGCATTTTAGGGAAATGGATCAAATCCTTAACCTCTCGTAGACGTGTGCATGTACTCTGTGTCTTCCTGCTGTGCGGTGCTTTGTGGTTATCCGAGTTGCCCTTCTTAATTATGGGCGTATTTCGTCGCGGGTACTAAACTCAACAAGTAACATCCTGCCCCATCCTCTGGTTGCCTTAAGGTGACGATACAATGACCGGCGATGGAGGAGAATACCTTAGGCCAGAAGATCTCAAAGAACTCGGTGATGACTCGCTGCCCAGCAGCCAGTTCCTGGATGGCATGAACTACCTGCGGTACAGCCTGGAAGGCGGAAGATCCGATAGGTATCCACCAAACTTCCTGTGAATGCCTGATAGAAGTGTGCACAACACATTTTTTAAACTCGACACCCCCTTCCCTTTCCTATTTTTATTTTGGTTTTTAGAGATAAGGTCTCACTGTGCAGCCCAGAAGGGCATGGATCTTTCTCAGATGAACAACTTGCTGGGTGTTGGGCTTGCATCAGAGGGAGGGACCACTATGCCTGGCTGACCACATACTTTTTTTTTAGTGGCGATCATTAACGTAGACACAGTTATCGAACACTTAATGGGTAGTTCACCATGTTCTTCAGTTAGCATGCTATCTCATGCATGTATCTAACCCTTTAAGTAGAGCCTATTTTGAAGGACAGGAAACAAGTTCAGAGACACCGATTAATGTGGTACAGTCGTTCACCTACTGCGAAGCTGAGCAAGGGTGAACAGGAGGCCCTGCCTTTCCAAGTGATGTATTTAGCCAGCTGCCACATGGTTCTCTAGGCAAATTCTAAGGACGGTTTTGCCTGGCAGATGTGCTTAGTTAGCATCTCCAGGTACCTCTAATTCTAACTTAACTATGGGTGCTGTAATTTCTGTGTAAACAAAATAACGACGAATCATAGGAAACAAGTGCAAATGGAAGTTGCCCTATAATTAATGTTCCCATTAAGAAACAAAGACATGATCTGAGATGCTCTGAGCCGACTTTATAGACAAATCTCAGGAGGCTTTCTAATATTCTGAACTGTGAGATTCAACGAAATACGCTGGTATTGACTACCATTAACTAATACATCTAGTTCTTGCTACTCTCAACAGCAAGATAAATAAGCTTATTGTAGGTACTTCTTCAGAAGTATGGCTGCTAACCTGGGTCACATGTCTGCCTGTCCATGTTACTGTAATGTCTCTTCCATCAACACTCGCATGCTCATGGTACCAAGCTGACTCTTTTGCCAGCTACATTATGAATTTCCCACCTATGTACAGCTTACAGAATTATCAATTCTACATTGATAATCTATTAAGGTCAACCTATTTGGGGACTTGCTCCTTGAGGACCTGGATCCCCTCCCTCATTTTTCCTCCTCTTGTCCTGTACCTCACTTTTTTCTTTCTTTCGTTTTTATTGTGTTAAGTTAATTCTTGAGCTGGGCATGCTGGTAAGTCCTGGAGGTACCAACCTGATTAAAAAACGCTCACTAAATTCATAGCCTAAGAGAGACTCTGGAAGGCCAGGGTACAAGAGCATAGAGTGCCTCTGCAGGACGGAGGCCCAAGATTCCTGACAGACAGAAGCCCAAACCCTGGTAGAACACAGAGCAATGAAGCTGGAAAAGGCAGGGGATCCATAACTGTGGGGGCAGCAAAGGCTTATGATATCAGTGGCACACAGGTGCAGTGGGCTGGAGTGGGAGCATGTTTTATAAGAATCCCTCGTGGAGATTAGCCCCTGGGCTAGACCACCCAACCGCAAAGTTTGTTTGCATGGTGGTTACGACCCAACTGAACTCTAACCCTGGGCCAGCTGTGGAAAGAATCCGGCAGCGACAATTTTGAAACCTGGGAAGTGAGAGTTGTTGGAGAGTTTTATGGGGACAGCTGAGAAAGAAGGAAGGTGACTCCTTGGTATTGGTGACTTAGATAGAGGGTGACCCTTAGGGTCAGGGTAAGAAGGAGGAGCCCCTGAGGGGTGTGGGGTGAGGGGTGTGGGGAAGAGGTGGCTGAACCTGTGTTCCATACATTAAATTCTCATCCACTGACAGATTTGGATTTATAATCTGAGATTTTTTTTTTTAAAAAAAACGATGTTTCAGTATAAAAAATTTTCCGTGACTTTCTGTGAATTCACAGTATTCTACACTTGCTTACGCTCAACCAAAGAATAATTCATTTTGACCAGTTTCTAACAGTTTCTAATTATTTAAAGAATGCCTGATTCAGCCATATTTCCTTTTTTTTTTTTCCAAACTAAGATTCGAGAATTATAGTGTCCTTTCTATAGAGTAAGAGGGTGGTTGGTTTGAAACTTACCAGCATATAAAGGCGGAGGAATGGAACAAACATTGCATGTTCTTGTCTTAGGTTCCCACCTGCATCTCTTGACTGCCACATCTACACACAAGCCCACAACAGAATATGGGCAACATCTCGTTTTCATGTTTTATTAATTACTATTTCGGTTTTGCTTGAGCAGTTCGGCACGCCACCTTTTTGGTAACCATTCTCCTTTTTTCATTTACTTCTTTATTTGGTCTGCTCTCCATAGTACCATTCCCAGGTAGGTATTACATAGCATGCAACCACGGCCTGCCTGTACACATCCGCATTCCCCGCTCACTGCTCACTGTGTATAGACTTGTATGTGTGTGCGAGCGCGCGTGTTGTGTTAAGAGTTGCTTACATTCTAGAATTATGGATTTTTGTCCCTTTGGGCTAAAATCAGTAACTGCTGGAGTCGGAAGAGATGCTCTGTTATAGGAACGACGGTGCCACAAGAACCAGGCCCGACTCTAACTCCTACAGTGCCACCTTGTGGCTGATGACACAGGAGCATGGCTTCCCCCAAAACGCACTAAGCATCCTATCTATATACACTTGGAGAGGATAGAGAAAGCATTCGGGTGCCTAAAACACATACGACTTAATGCGCACTGAACAAAAACACAGTTAAATTATAATCAGTTGGATTTTAGTTCATTTATTATTATTATTATTATTGCTTGCAACTTAAAAATACTGTCCAAATTCAAAAAGAAAACTCCAAGTAGCAGAAAAGCCACAGAAACATTTTGATATACTTGTTCAATAGAGATTCAAACTCTATAAGTTGAATATCTACTATTGTAGTTTAGCAAGCTAGTAATTATTACATTTATTCGAATCCCTAAGTCAGTTGTGTAAAGGGGAAAGTGTGATTGAGTCCTTCCTTGTGTCCCCCTAACTGAATAAATAAGATTTAATTTCCTTCGATATATTAGTCTTGGTTTATTAACTGAAAATGAGTTCCCAGTCCCCGAAGTCATTTCTTTTTATGGTAACTCTGTTGTAAAATATTAAAACATCTTGGTAATGCTTCCTGCCAAATGTGGGCAACGTATGTGAGCCTCAAAGTATTCCAACATTTTATTCTTGCTATTATTTTGTCAAAGAGAATTATGTCACTGCTGTTAGAATATCCCAGCCATATTTACTTCAGTTAAGCAGGTTCTGTGATAACATCAAGCAGAAAAGATCAGTTAGGAAACACAAAGCTCAGTTCACCATCCAGTTAGCACTTCAGAAGGCTGGCGGCAGAGAAAGCTCCATAGGATCCACGAAGAAAGGAACGATCAGACAGGGCCCTTGGCCCTTTCCCCAGTCTACATACCCTAACATCTGCCCTTCTATTTTGTAGTCACCTTTTGTGGATACGTTTTCTTTTTCCCTTGTTAGTTTTTAAGGCAAGACAAAGTGAGTAAAACCACCAGATTCTCTCGCTACCTCTTGTAAATAAACCCATTAAGAGACAGAGAGACAGACCCAGGAATCAGGGAGATGGCCATCAGGAACTCACCTTCGTTACTGGTGCTAACTGGGGGATGGGATGTTACACTGAGAGCCAGTGAGATCTTTCATGCCACTCTCTTCAGATAGACCTGCCAATTGGTCACTGTCACTCCAGTGATCAGTGAGACCCAGTGCCTTCTGTCACAGTTTAGGTATAATACAATCCTGATAGCTTTGTCACAGGGTTTTATGTGTAATGCCTTTGTTACCACTATTTAATTTCACAGTATAAATTTCCATTATAAACCAGTGTTTCTTGTCTATCTAGGGTGCATTAAAAGGTCAATTTTACCTAGCAAGTGAGGTGGCCTTTGGTACCAAGTGTTTTTAGCTGGTTCATGTCTTTTGTAGTATTCACACACAGCTAGCATCTCTATTATGCAACGTTATAGTCTAAATATTTAGATTATAAAACCATGGATAGAGATTATGTAATTACTAAATCTGGGCCCAGTTGAAGGCACTTGATGGGAAAAGAAGATGATTGAGTCCACAGACTCTATCATTTCATAAGTTTGGCCCTCTGCCTTTGACCAAAGTCAAAACAAAATAAAGAATAGAATGTAAGCATGACAGACTGTTGCTGGGTACAAAGCACACTCCGGCGCGTCTCTGCTGTCTGTCTTGTTTAAAGCAATGAAGAGCAACACTTTAGTCCACCATCAGAAACACACTTTTGCTAAATTGAAAGATTGTTATCCTGGTTATTGAATTTCTATCTCAGCCTAAATTTAAGAACTCAGCAAGACCCCATCAAAAGCAAACTCCACAACTATAAAATCAGCTGTAAACTCTGTTGCTGCCTCTTGCTAGAGTTCCCACCTCAGCTGATTAATTACCAAGGCATCCAGGCTGCCTGTGCCCTGTGTTAAGACTCTCAGTCTACTCAAAGGCCTTAAAGAATTGAGTTCAAATTATGTTTTGTTTCATTTTATTATGAAAAATAGATTTACAGTACAGTCAATATCAATTTCTTTTAGTCATATCCCTTACTCTTTAAAGTGTGAGCTCTGGAAACCTACTGACAAACCACGGGAAAAATGTTACTATAAGTAATTCTTCATGCGGTACTGTCTTCAGATAGCCAATTATCATCGACACCTCGTGTATCAGAGCACATGGTTACAAACTTTGATGCATTTGTAAGATTAAACTGTTTTTACTAATCCATACGCTAATTTTTCTTTTATTTAATGTGAGTTTTCCAGTCAGTCCATAATTCTACCATGCTTCCCTGACCAGTATTCACTAGTTGAAAGGAAATTAAAGTTTGCTTCTATAATTTTATGAAAGCTTGCTTATCCTTTGTTTTACCCATTTGTGTTTTTTGGCTAATAGTTTGAATGCAAACTGTTAATTTCTGGGCTTTGTATAAAACCAATGTGTGATACAGTATTCAAAATATCAATCTATAAGCTAAGCATGGTGCTCAAACCTGTGATCTCAGCACTTGGGAGATTAAGGCAGGAGCACCAAGTGTTCAGGGCCAGTCTGGGTTACATAGTGAGTTCCAGACTAGTTTGGGTGACATAGTAAGACCCTCCTTCAGGAAAATAAAAAAGATAACATCAATATAATGCCATTTAATCCTAAAGGTTGGTTAGAATGAATTATGGAAAGAATAATTTTTTTGTCTATTACATTTGAGTGTATAATTTGGAATAACAAAATTCAGATTTATCAAAATTATAAAGCATTGAATAGCAAGGCCATAATTCCATTTTGAAGTCCAACATCACTTTTGGGCAGTGTCCTTTGGCGATTTGTCCTTGTTTTGGCATGTGTCTGTTTGGGCTGGTGCTGAGCTCCTCCTGCTCTTGCCTCTCATCCCCATGGCAACGAACACTCTTTAGGGCTTCCTGCAGGACACTCAGGGCATACAAAGGGGACACTGCTCTCCCCTGAAATAACAGCATTGTTGGACTCTCCGGAGATAAACAAGAGGAACTCTGCTTCCCCAGGAAGCACACATCTGGCTGCAGTTCATTTCACTCTGTACCTTCCAGGGGAAGACACTGACGTTCAGCCATTCACAGTGTGGAGAGGAAGGGAAAGACACAGGGGACGAGAATGGAAAGTCAAGGGCAAAAAAACGAAACCTGTCTTTTCGTTTTGCCTTGGCTCTCTGAGCGCTGTCCGCCTTCCACCAAATATTTTCCCATGGCTTCAGGGAGGTTATTTTGCACCGACTTAAGAATTTTTACCTGTATAAATTGCTTCTACCGGCGAATAAATGACAGTTCCTGGTTTCAAATATTTCTGGAAAGAAAACAAATCAGATTAGGAGTATCACATTTAACTTGTGGATTCCCCTGTGCCCTTGCCATTCGAGGTTAAGCAGAGTCTGAGGATGTGTCTAAGTTGTTTGGGCAGAGAGTTAGGACCACGCTGAGACCTGTGTCCCCTGGAAGTTGCACTGTTAGCTAATAGCACGCTTTTCTCGCTCTCCTGCTCGGCTCATTTCATCTTCCCAACCCTCCACCGCTGTTGGCTCATGATCATGACCTCCTGCCAACCTACCAGCCTCCGCTCCTTCAGTTCCGACAGGTCTCACACTCTGAGCCATGCATCGTACCTGAGGGACAGTGCCATGATTGACGACACGGTTGTGATTCCCAGCCACCAGGTACATGGCTTTCTTTCTGTCTTCATGTCTGATTTCAAATGTCCTAGCGCCAGGTGGGGGTGGGGCTCTAGAGGGAGAGAGAGAACGACAACAACCTGAATTCATTCTTAACAACAACAACAAAAAAATTAGGGTAAGAGATTTGAGGGTGTGCTACAATTTGCAAATGTTCACTAGATTTTTCGCTGAACATATTCTCTCTGAAATAATACACTGTTTCTTTCTTTAGCCACACTGAAGTCCTCTATGGAGATTTTAATATAAAGATTTGTGTTGTATAAGTAGTATCTTCATTATGAGAAAAAAAATTAGGACATGTTTATATGATGGGTGATACCTTGTAAAATACATTTTGTTGCATATTTAAAGGGGCTATGTGAAAAGGCTTAAAGTTTATTTTGAAATCTATTAAATTTAGGTATAATTTTTTCCCCTTGATGGATTGGATATAGGGAAATAGAGGAACAGAAGCTCTCTTCAAAATACTCTGCTATCATAAGATAATTCAGAAGGGAATGCTCTAGAAGAGATGATTTGATTTTATGTTTTTAAATAAAGAATTTCTGTCAGAGCACCTTTTATTTGCTGCTCCTTCAGAGCTCATTGTGTTTTCCCTGGGTTTCGACGCAGTGTTTCCCATTAAATCTGATGTTCTTTGTGTGTAGGTGTCAGCTCTAGCCAAGGAGGCAGAAAGGAATTCTTATCGTCTGAGCTGGGGCACGGAGAACTTAGACAACGTGGCTCTTTCTTCCAGCCCTATTCATTCAGGGTGAGTGAATCAATATTATGTATCCAGATCAAGAGGTAAAAAGAGATGCGAAAGTCCCAGCTTTGTCCAGCGGCTTCAGTGGACGGGTAGCTTACCGAGGAGGTGACCTTTGTTTCAACTTGTGACTAACTTTGCTTTTTTTTCTACCATGGTTCCAGTCGCACCAGTGAGACAGCAAAATGAGGTTGAGTTTGGCCGAGAAAACTGGTGCTTTAGCATAACCTACTGGAATAGGCTCACCTCCTCACAGATTGTGTGTGCAGTCCTTAAAGCCATTCAGAAGGAGGCCAGGCCAGCTGCTTGATTGAAAGTTTCAGTCTGCTAAGATGGAATGGCTGGCCTGGAAATAAACTCCTTTCCTCACATTGTGACACATTTAAAGCAGTGGGTACGACCGCAGGCGCACGCAGATGGATCCGTACACTCAGTTAGGGATAGAAATAAAAAGAGTTCCCATTCAAGTGGTGATTTTTCTCAGCTGTCCTTTCAATGGCTTTCCTAGAGTGCACACCACATGCCTGCTTGTCACTCTCTAAGAGTTAAAGCCATACTTGGAACAGGACTCCTCAGCATTCCCAAGGTTTTAGATAGTCCTTGGGGTATAAGACCAACTATGTACAGGGCACATCTCTTACAGATCTAAAATATAATACTTTTTGAACAGTTTTCTTTCCTCATGTTTTAGTATAATATTTAAGTGAAATTTCTACCTATATTTGATGTAACAAAATGGACTATTTTGGCTTTATCATCCCAAACTCCTATGTATAATCTCTGTAAATGTTTTGAGCAGTGGGTCCTCTCTTGTTCATAGTGTTTTAAAATAAGCCTTCTTCCAGGAAAATACTCCATGACATTGTAAACACTTTGGACTTTTTAGTCTAATAGTCTACTAAATGCCATAGAATATAAAATTAGGTAGATATTGAAAATAAACACCCTATTTTCCTTGTTAAGTAATTGCGACTACTTGGTACAGTACAACTTGCTCGGAGGATTTAAAAAATTAAACTCCATCCAAATTTAATTATTCTAAATGAAAATGGAAAAATTAAAATCTCTATTATAGATTGGTCAAAAAACAACAATAGCATTGCCTTCTACTACTGAGGTCCCCCACATGATGAATAAGGGAGAAAAGAGGTCTAGACCTCTAATGACAAAAAATAAGAACCCAGACTCCACACCACAAAATACAAACATTATTTTAGGTAAAATATAACAACAATAGCTGAATTTTAAAAAAAAAGTGAATGTAACAAAAAGAGTAATAGCTTAGTTTTCAAATTAATTATTAGCCTTAAAAAAGGAATTTTTAAGCTTTTTACTGAAGGTCATAAAAATACATTAGTTCATCAATATCCAATCTATCTCACCAAAGTAAATAACATCTGTGAGTTATAATGACTAATGTTTACATTGTTGTGTTTGACTACTGGTAATGAAACATCAGCATCCAACAGCTAAAGATTAATAAGTTCAGATATACACCTTTTTAAAAAGATATGCACCTATAAAAATTGATCTGCAGCAAACCATCTTTTGTGCATTGCAAACGTTTATTATACTGATCTCAGTTACTCGACACTGGCTGTATATTGAAATCACTGTGGGGCCATAAAGCCATCAAAGTCCAAGCCGCATCCCAGATGGATTCTGCCTGAATCTCTGATCTCAGGTTTCTGTATTTCTGTGAGTCCTGATTTGGGTAAAACTTTGCTCAGTAAAGCCTCTTTTATCCGGAAGAGTAGTTAGTACACACCTACTACATTCTCTAGTAATGTAGAACATTCTCTGTAATGTTCCTCATTTCGTCTACCTCATTTCTACTTGAATACTCGTTCTCCACATATTTGTTAAACTCTACAAAGTGCTAGACTCTATCAACTGTCAAGGAAAGTAGAGAAGGAAAACCTAGCAGCATCCCTTCCAGGGACACTTCAGGGAGTGTTCTATGAAGTCAAAAGATCATGTGACTGACAGGAATCTGATGGGTAACTCTATGCCTTGGCATCAGACTGTTTTACTTCAGACCCTGATACCAACTCTCTCTATGTGGCAGTGGGCACATTATGGGAAAAAAATCTCTGAGTTTCTGTTTACTTCTCTGTAAAAGGAGTGTTATATATTTATTCTATTGGGGAGTTTTAAACAGTAAAGGCTTTTGATATCTTTAAACTTTACCTAGAAACAGTAAGGACTCAGCATAAAATAACTTTCACTATTTTTACATTCTCCCTCAATGCATCTCACATTTCTCACAGTCTCTAAATTGGTTAAACCAGACACACCCCAAGTCTTCTGAATGACAGAACACATGCATTCAGCCCGTGATGGCAATGTAGCTTTGTTTTACCAGGTAGGATCATCTATTGGTGTCTCTACTGTAGTGGTTGAGTAAACATGGGGCTGCAGATGACTCTAGGGGGGCGGGAAATTACCCTTGAAAAGTTCAGGATTCCAAGAGCTGTGCTGTTTGAAAGTGACATTCATATATATTAATATATATGAGTAGCGTTCATTGTATCTCGTAATACTTATTTCTTATTAATCACTCATTATATATCAGGTTCTTAAGTAGGAGCCGTTAGATATTTTTCAAGGATCAGAGTTTTAATTCACTTAAAATGTAAGGAAAAGGTGACTTTTCAGTAAGGGGATAGTGAAGAGAGCTTGTGATTACACCTAACTTATACATGAGGAAAATGCTGCATTACATTCAAACTGATTTTCTACCGCTAATTAGTACTGATTGTTTTACCTTTGCGCCACTTCATTTTTAAGAGAGGTTCTTGGCTGAAAAGGAATGGGTCGATGATTAAACTCTGTTTCCTGCATAGATACATTTAGTATCTGGACAAATGAAAGGCTTGACTTTTTGTTATTTGAGTTGCCTAACTGACTCCTAATGAATTCAAGAAGCAGTTATTCTTAGAGGCTCCGAATGGAAGTCATCACAGTAAAGTTTATATAAAAATACGAACTTCACCATTCTTCTTAATTAACTGGATGCATAACAAATTGGCTGGTATAAGGCAGTTTATACCAATAATTAGTTTTGCAACTCACGTTATATATTGCCACTCTGAAAGTCTTTGCAATGTTTTAATAATGATATCCAAGTGCTACTAATTAAATACCAACTCATGAGGTGTTAGACTATGCCACAGTAAAATAAAGCCCCAAGAATATGATCTTTTAAAACATACTGAAGACAACTTTGTTGTGAACCTTGCACGACACTTTTAAAAAAAGTCATAAGAGCTGTTTTCAAAACTGTTTGCTCAAATCACAGAATGTTTGAGGCATAAGGCAGCCAAGTCTCTTTGCTTGGGACAACATAATATAAATGCTTACAGAAGCTCTTCCAGTTTTTAATTTAGCTTTTCATGTTTCTTAAAATATCTTGGGAGTTCTTTTAGATCCGCAAAAGGCTAATTCTTTCAGATAAAGAAGGTTGTTTTATAAAGTAGCAAATCAACTGATCTGGAACCTTGGATTTCTGGTTCATTGAATAAAATATACTTACATATATCAGCAAATATTTGAACCTTATGAAACCCTGTGAGGGTGGGGATAAGGAAGCAGACTACATGGGCAAAAGAGTTGTGAAAAGTAAGGCTATAGAGTGGGACTAGATATTAGGTATGAGGAAGACAACCACAGTGCTCAAAGCAGGCAGTGATGTCTTAAGGAAAAAGGACAAAGACAAAGTCTGCGTAGATCTTTACTACCCACTAGCAGCTGATTAATGTTACCTACTCCGCCATCGATTTTATACTCTATCTGTCACAGATGCTATCATTGAAGCTGTTCCTTTCCAGTTTGTGTCTGTTCTGCTGTAGCCCAACAGGGAATGATCTTACCAGAAAAGTCTCAGAAGAATTGCAAATGGACAGCAGTTGAATCGAAGCTACAGCTACAGAATCCAAGACTTTGTCCTTGTCATTATATTATCACGTGGTGTGTCCTAGCTCTTGGACACTTCGTCTTGGCTAAGTGTCCCCACACACCAATGCTAAGGCTTCACTTCCCTATGGGTGACTATGTAACGTCCCCAGGTTGCTAAGCTGGGAGTGACCCCAAAGGCCCCTTGTTCTTCTCTCTGCGTGCATAGAGTGACATTTCAGTGATGTTTGCATAGAGTGATATCTTACTTGTATTTCCATCCTTTTTTTCTCAGTGAACACTGTGTTGGTATATGAATTAAATATTTGAATCAAAGTCACATCTAATTTCCTTCTTTATATTTCACTTATCCACTCCTTCTCTGTGCTAAAGTGTCTGTTCTATTACAGCCGCGCCTCTCCATGTCTTGATCGTGACCACAGCAGGTGAACCTCTGCGTAATTCCTTCTCTGAACATGTCCCATGTTCTCCTCTCCCTCACCATCTCCTTCTGCCTGTGCCACACCTCAGGATGCTTTAGTTTTGATGATGTCTAGTGAAACATAGACAGAGGCTTACGTTCTCCAAATCAAGGTCATTGCTCACTTTTCCAGGGAAAAGTGGGTATATTTAATGCAGTTGGTATGACGTTGACTGCATCAAAATGAAAATGGACTCCTATTTGGGTCATGGCCTCCACATCTCAGTTTCTTTATGAGGAAAAGTGCTACATCCAAGTAAAATCTTATGTTCCCACAATTACGCAAATTGGTAGAGCTATTTTGAAGCTTTATTAATGGTTGTGATTTTTTTTAAGTAGCCCTCGGACCTTCTCTTCTTTGTTTTGCTCTTATCTTGCCATATTCTAGGTGAGCCAAAGGCTAAGGGCTTATTAATAGTACAGATCCTCTGTTTTAAATTCAACCTTTTGATATTTTGGAATTGTGCTATAGAATGACTTGTCTGCATTCTAAATATAGCAATCATTCTGTATTAGTGAGATGAAGTTATTTTAAAGTTCCTTTTGGGCTACTGAATATAGTATTTTTATTCTTTGGCCATCCATGAGGATAATATGGGTTATCCCTCTAAAAATAAGACGGTTCTATATTTCCATTTTTGGAGGTTGTTATATCCTTTATGTCTTCTCAGGCACACCCAAAATATTGCATTTCTATTCTCGAGTAGAGCGATTTGTGAACAATTACGGAGTGATTTGAACAAATTTGAATCACCCTTTCCAGTGTCAATTTTTAAAACCTGTGCTTTAGTTTGTGGGATTTGGAGAACTAGGAAGGGACTGGGGAAGGGCAGAGCAGCCAGCTCCTGCTGTGGTCTCAGCCCACGCTGAGAGTCAGAGCGGATGTCAGGCCCTCTGCTGTGCACAGGGCATCGCTGAAGCACCCTGAGGAATCTTTTCTCCTGTCCTTCACCCAGTGACTAACTCCGAATGCTGCAGTCTCCTCCCTGTTCCCAGTCCATGGTCCTAGATGAGTTAAATGGAAATCCACAGTATCAGTAACGCTGGGGGTGTGCAGTATAGTCGTTTTCAAAGTCCAAATCCTTGTTTCCTGCTGTCTCCTCTGAAGCATGTACCCATTCAGCTAATCAAATTGCATATTTATCAGCAAGTCATCTGCCTCATAAAAGTGAATTGTGTTTGCTTTTATTCCTTTTTAAATTGTGAAAACATTGAATCTCACAATTTAGAAAACTTCAGAGTTTCTACTTTGCATGACTGCTCTCATTTGAAGAGTTAGATGCATCAGAGCCAATGTCCCCTGGTTATGTCCCCAGCTCTATGTAGTGTTAAGTCAATGTCTAATGCAGTATGCCTACGCATTTTCAAGAAAGTATCAATTTAACCATGGGTCAGAAGCTATATTGGAGCAGTAACAGTTTGCTTTCCAATTAGGAATTCCTCTAGAGCGGCTAAAATAAAATATTTAGGTAGGTTGACTGATCTAGCTAGCCATTAGCTGCATCAAATTTGTAACATCAGGCAGTCACTTCAGAGTTTATTCACCTAAATATCTTAATTTATGCATAGAAAACAAAAACTAATGAAGTTGCCAACTTACTTGACTGTGGTTACAGAAATCATTCAAAACAGACTTGGAAAGAACATGGTACCCCAGCACCCTGTGCTGTAGTAACAGAATTCTCACATCCTATTTAATACGTTTTTTTTTTCACTGTTTTAGGTGATGTATGATGTACATTTCAACGATCATGACATTAAAAAGATAAAAAGGCAGGAAAAAGAAGATAAGGGGAGCAGCCATTTAGTAAAGCTGTATTCTTTACCCACACATGATTGATTTCTCCCTGCTCCTGTAAATGGTGACAGGGCCAGCCCTCAGGAACTAGGACACTTCGGTGTCACACTCCACACTGCAGAGCTGAGCTTCAGTTCTCCTTTCTCTCACCTCCTTTACACATAGCTGCCTTCTTTGCTTTCCTTCAGGGTTTTTTTTTTTTTTCATCTGTAAATGTTTGCAGGACTCGCATTGTCTCATTTCTAAAGTCCCCCAAACGTGGGAGAATTATATTCATTCAGTCCAATCCAGCAGTCAGGCTGATACACTGCAGCCTTGCATGGCTCACTCCTTTCATCCTCTCTCTTTTCCCCTCAGTGCTTATAATGAAAAAACTCTTGTGGAGTTGCCGGTTGCTTTAGACACGGCAGAGTAGCGGGTTCCTAATTCCCTTAGCCATCCAGGTAGTGGCACCTTTTGGTATTCCATTTTTGATAGAAATCTTCAAATGTTTACCCAGTTCTATGCTTAAAAACCGTTGGGATTGCCTGGTTAGCTTGCTGGCTTTACAAGTAAACTTCATTGCTACCTAGGTACAAAGTCCAGACACTGTTTCTTCTTCTTTTTCTGCGCAGAGGAGAGGCTCATGAATTTCAGTCTTAATAAGTCATTTGATGATTACATTATGAGTCAAATTTGCCTAGAATGTTTACTGCGAGGCTAAGCTTACAACACCCTTTGTTTGTTTCTTCTGATGATTGACAGTTGTTTTGTGTCTTCCAGCAGTATCTTTCATTTCTCTCTCTCTCTCTCTCTCTCTCTCTCTCTCTCTCTCTCTCTCTCTCTC